TTAACACATTTTTCCAAATTATAAAGAAATGGCAGATCTAGCACAATCAAATGGTTTTGAATTTCTGAAATCGGTTCCGGCGTTTTTGAGCAAACGTTGATAAAGGTCTAATTTGACAAATGCCAAAAAAGCGATATCAATTTTTTGCAAATTTTGATGGATATTTAAAAGGTCCAGTCGTTTTTTAGAAAACGTCGATTTACTTACGGAAAAAAACTGTTCACACATACATACTTTTTCCAAAATTTGGTCTCATTCGATTTAGAATGGCTTGAAAACGTCGAGAAAACATAAAATTAACGATGGGATTTTTTGATGAAAACAAACTCTTCGGGAAGCTAACAATTGTAATGAGATATGATAATGTTTTTTCAAGATCAATATTATATTGGATTTATCGCGCTAACAGGTGACCAACAAATCACGTTGGACACGAATTTCGTGAATTTTATTATTAGATTTAATAGGTTTTTTTTTTGAAGAAGAAATTCATAATTTTTACCTGTGAAATTTTTTCTTCAAATCTCTTACCCTCCGTTGTGCATTCAGAAATAAATGTTTCTTTCCAACTTTCACCTATTTTCAGAAATTCAATAGATACTTAATAGAAGCCTGAATTGAAGTATTAGTTAGCGATATATCTGATAATGATGATTATTCATGATAATATATATTTTATTGTAACTAATTAAGTTTATTTTGACCATAATTTGTAATTTCTCATAATATAGTTTGAATATACGCTAAAGTTTTCACGCAACGCCTATTACTCGCCTCCCGCCATAGCATTTTTGCCCTCGTCTGGCAAGGGCTTATGCTAGCCAGAATGGTCTGGCAATGGCACAGTCCTTTTTAGAATTGCTTAGATAAACACTATGTAAATTTCAGCTTTACAGGACAAGTTTTTTTGGGACATTTTTTGCTCACTTTCCGGCTCGTCTGGCAGGTATTTGTGCAGGTCGAAATGGGTGGGCAGATTGATTTTCGAATTTCTCAATGAGTAAATTATATCGTATAAAAATTTGAACTTACAGGAACAAGTTTAATATTTTCGGGTATTTTTTACACTTTCAAACGCCTGGACGACCATGATGTGCAGGGCTAAAAACCTGCCAGACTGTCGTTTCCGTACGTAGCACGTTAAGAATCATCTGTACAAAAATTTTTAGCCTTACAGGAACACCGTTATTCAAAAGGTTCACTGGCTCTTGGTCTAAATATTTATAATAATTTATTTGAAAACATTCAGTATTCCTCGAACATTTCGTTACGGTACGGGAAGTTCAGCAATTTGCCTTAAGGCACGATGCCATAATAGCCTCAGACAGAATTCCACTTACAGCTAGTTTAAATTGAATTCGAAATGAAATGACGATTGTTAATGTTCTGGAGTTAATTAATTTATTTATTAATGTACATTTGATTTGCTCAGATATAACAATAGATAGCTAAAATAATGAAAGTTACAGAGGTAACAAACAAATACTAGTATTTTGTAATAATATATTTGAAACGTTTTAAAATTTCTCGAATATTTCATTACGGTGCGGGAAGTTCCAGCAATTGCCTTAAGGCACGATGCCATGCACCCCGCTAGTTTCTGATATTATCGTGGCGTTAATTTTGTGTGTTTTGTTCTTTGTTCATTATGTATTGATATTTATTATGTACATATAAATAGTTAATTATTCATTTACTTTTTATTTCGAATAAACATTTCAAGAATGTACATAAATATTTGTTCTAAAAAATCTACCCAATGATTCAAAAACGATTTATGATAACATTAAGGTCAATATTTATTATAATTTCAAAAATATATAAATCAATAAACTTAAACATTCAATCCTCCTCACTCGCCAACAATCCATTCCTAAGCTACCTACATTTAATGTATCATAATATACAAAATATAAACTTTAATAATACGACCTATCAATAACTTATAAAACTCCGTCCATTAAATTTCTCGATTTGTTTTATTCACAATCCTTTTTCGATAATAATACTTATACTATAATATGCAAATTAAAAACCTTATGATATATATATTTATGTGTACAATTCTTATTATTATAATAACCTGTTGTTGTTGTTCATCGTCTTCTTTGATGACTGGCAACATGTTGTTGTTTATCTTTTTCTGCGACAGACTCTTTTGTGTTCGGCTTGCCAATGCTGTTGCTGGCAAGTCGTTGTTGACAATAGGCAGTGTTCCAGCAGCAATAGTATATTGCCTCGTCTCCACAATAGTAACACTGGATATTGCCAGGAATGAAAAGTATGGAAGAAGTATAAATAGATTATAATATATAAGATAATATATATATATATATATATATATATATATAAACAAAGTCTAGTAATCAGGCATAACATCAATAAAAATAAAGTAAAATTTTAGCTTTATCTTCAAGCTAAAAAATCTGAACTAAAATTATGTCAAAAATATTCAATGTCTGGATGCGAGATAAAAAATGATTGAATTACTAAAATGGCTATAAAAAATAGGAATTTGTGGTAGAAGGGAGAAAATTTAGGGCTGAATGTATTTTCATAGAAAAAGTTTATCCACATAAAACAAAAAAAACTAGTTGGTTTGGTATTTAGCCTTGAGGCAAGTTACATGAACTTCCCGATATGTGTAAATAATCGACTTAATCAAAAAAAAAATGTGTAAATATTATACTTCATCAATCCTACATTAAAAAAAACGATAATAATTTTAGCAAAGTTTGACGAATTTTTAAAATTAAACTACTTTATCGCCAAAAAAAGGTCCATGAAAATCGGCTTAATTTTTTTTTCAACAATTCATCACAAGAAAACGGTTCGGTAGATTTTCACCTAAAATTAATCAGTACCATTCCCAACTAATATCTTTCAAACAGTTTTTGATTTTTTAAAATCGGTTCGCTAGGATGAGCTTAAATGTGGACGAAAAGTTTAACACTTTTTTTCAAATTGCAAAGAAACGGCTTGACAGATCGTCACACAAAACTGACAAACGATAGTCCTCACCGAAATACATCAAATGGCTTTTAAATTTCTAAAATCGGTTCAGGCGTTTTTCAGAAAACGTCGATCAAAAGTCTAATTTTGACAAATGCCAAAAAAACGATACCAATTTTTGCAAACTTTGACGAATTTTTAAAGCTGACCCAGTTGTCGTAGGACCGTAATATTTTAGTATGATCTAGAAGACTATGGTATCTACCGTCAAAAAAAAATCATAAAAATCGTCGAAATTTTTTTTTTAAACTTTATTACAAGAAAACGGCCCGGCCGATCTTTACCAAAAACTAATCAGCACGATTCCCAATCAATATCTATCGAGCGGTTTTTGAATTTTCAAAATCGATTCAGAATTGCGGGCTAAAACGTAGACGAAAATTTTTCCACTTTTCTGCGATTTATAAAAAAACGGCTTGGCCGATCGTCGCACAAAACAAACAATATTTCTCGTCGAGATACATCGAATGGCTTTTAAAATTTTGAAATCGGCCCAGCCGTTTTCGAGAAAACGTCGATTTACGGCAAAAAATCTGTTCACATACACACACACACACACACATACTTTTTCCAAATTTGGTCTCATTCGATTCAGAATGGCTTGAAACGTCGAGAAAACATAAAATTAGATAATCGGATTTTTTTGATGAAAACATAAACTTCTCCTTCGGGAAGTTAAAAAACACTTAAGGATATTCTAAAAAAGTTGAACCAATTAATTAAAAAAAGTATTGAGGGCGTTCAACCCTTAGCACTAAAGTGTATGAACTTTTTTTTACTTACATAATATATATTAGTTATAAAACAAATTTATTAAATTGATTAGGTCTATGCTTTTTTGCATGTTTTTATTTATATTTTTCTGTAATTATGTATTTTTTAAATTGTTTTAAATTGTAACCCTGAAATATTTAATTGTAGCACTAAAGATGGGTCAAATCAAGACCCGAAACGTATGTTTTCATAATAAAAAACATATTTCTTCAATAAAACTGTTTTTAATTACTGGATGGATGCCCAAGAACAAATTTTATCATATATATCTACATATATATAAAAATAAGTCGGGTTTTCCTTCCTGACGATATAACTCCAGAACGTACGAACCGATTTCGACAATTTTGCATTCGTTGGAAAAGTCTCGGGCTCCGCAAGGTTTATAAATAAGAAAATTAGTGGTGCATGGCATCGTGTCCTGATGCAAATTGCTGGAACTTCACGCACCGTAATTAAAAACTCGAGTAATGACATTAGTGAGAATTATCAGAATTATGCTTGGTTAAGTCAACGAGCAATTCTTGCCGCAAAGAATAATGATGTACACGCACTGAATTTCACCATTCAATCAAAAATTGCTGGCGATTTGGTGACATACCAATGATTCCGACTGGTCTTCCGTTTGACTTCAAACGATTGCAATTTCCAGTTCGCCTTGCGTTCGCAATAACAAGTCGCAAGGCCAATCGCTTAGTGTTTGCGGGATAAATTTCAAATAGATTACTTAGAAAATCATTGTTTTTTACATGGGCAGTTAAGTTATACGTTGCCTGTTCAAGAGTTGGAAAACCACCCGCTTTGTTTGTGTTAACGTAAGACCAAAAAACAAAAATTGTGGTTTACCAAAGGGCACTTCAATGAAACGGATAATTTGCGGATTTACTTTCATTTACTTAGAGAAGTTCAACTAAAAAGACTTCATTTTTGTAATCCAAATAAATTCATTATTGTTGTGTAATAAAATCATTTTTTTCCTTTTCAAATATAAAACAAACAAAAAATTTCTTCATCTTTCTCACGAAACCAACTGGTGGCGAAATGGAGTTCGTCGGGTTTGCTAGTATATATATATATATATATATATATAAATATATATATAATGAAATCAAAGAGACTCACCCATTGCCTTTTCTTCACCTCGAACAAAATCGATTTAACATGTTCGTCAACCATAGCTTGTAGTTCTGCTTCCCATCTATAAATATTAATTCACATATTAAAACTAGCTGTAAGTGGAATTCTGTCTTAAGGCAATTAAGGCATCGTGCCTTAAGGCAAATTGCTGGAACTTCCCGTACCAAAAATTATTATTTGTTTGAAAAACAATTAACATTTTTGAAAAAAAATTACTTAAAAAAAATAAGATGTTTGAGAAACTATACATTAGACAAAAAATTACTTTTTTTTGAAAAAAAAAAATAAAAAAAAAAATTTTTTTTTTAAATTTTTTTTGAAAAAAATTTTTTTGGAAAAAAATTTTTTTCTTTATTTTGACATATTTTGGAAGATCTAAACTTTTTTTCAAAGTAATCGCACTGCTTTAACTTCATAAAGACGAAATATCAAAGCGCGTAAGCGCCGCGTCGCCGTCTAACGTGTAAGCATTGGTACGGAACCCATAGGAAAGTAAACAAAATTTATACTTATTGTTAAAATCTCTATAAAATATCTGATAATTTGATATGCATATGTCTAATGATCATTTTTGACCGTCAAATGACATTTTTTTTTTCCTTTTTTCATTAGATCTCCGAAACCGCTCGACCTGCCTTTATGAAAATTTGATCGGTTCTTCACCTTGTCAATACAAGTAAAATGTTTTTTGAATTATTGAAATCGGACGCTCCGTTCTCTTAAAAACTGAGTTACCGTTTTTGGCACTTTTTTCCCCGTATCTTCGGAACGGCTAGACGTGCCTTCGCCAAAAACTAATCAGCACGTCTCCTTATCAATACGAATCAAATGTTTTTTGAATTATTCAAATCGGTTGATCGGTGTTCCCGAAATCGACGACGAAAATTTGTATCCGCACATACATACACACACACACACACACACACACACATACATCCATTTTTTCTAAGAAACCTTTGAAACGTCGAGAAATGCAGAAATTTTCATTTTCGATTTTTTTGCGATTACTATAACTTGCCCTACGGGAAGTTAAAAATAAATCAAGTAAATTGTTTAATCATGCCTGTTTTGAATTGAAATTTGATTTACTTCAAAAATAATATAATCTATATTTGCTAGATTTGGCAAAAATACATCCAGGACAAACTCTGTCTATCATTTATCCTTTCCCCCACCTTTCATTTTCGGCCATAAGAGCCTCATGAGCGATCCTGGCGGCTTCCTTCATACTCGAAGCCTGCTCCACCTTCAACTTTATCCTTTCAAAATTCTCTCTGCGAGACACTCCGCCGCCCTGAGTGGCCCTGGCCAGTCGTGGGGCTTCACCCTGTTTGGAAGCTGCACCAGAACGATTTGCATTCGAAGAATTGGACGTAGAGTTGGAATTGTTCTGCGACGTTGAAGGAATTTCTTGGGTGGAACTTATCAAGGCTTCTTGGCTGCTTCCGATGCTGCTGTGGGCCTTGGCTCTGGTCGGTTTGGAGGAATAATCCTGGGAAATAATAAATATGGTAAAATGACCAATTGATAAAAATCGATTGAAAGTCGGTTAAGCAGTTGCTTAACCGGCCTTGAATTAACTATGATATATCTTATATATAAAATGAAGCTCTCAATCAAATGATCCGGTGAAACTTGAAAACGGCTAAACCGATTTGGCCAGTCTTAGTCTTGAAAAATTCGTGCTAATCAGTAGGTTGTCGCAAAGGTGAGATATTATTTCAAAATCGCGTTAAAACTTTACATTTTTAGTTTGAATTTTTTTGTAGAAGCGTAATTTGTATAAAATAATGGACGGTGGCTAATACGTCAAATGTCAAATGTGTTTGATGATGATGTTCAGTTACGTTAATAGGATGTTTTACGTGAATATTATTTAACTATGATTAAATTCCAGTAAGTAGTTCTGTTCGTAGTTATATTTATACACAAAAACGTTAGTAAACAGGCCGCAAGTGTTACTAGAAACTCAAAATATCAACTTCTTTGAAATGTTAATATGAAAATGCACTTTTTGGCATATTTTTTTCAAACACGATGCTCTGGAAGATCTCATTTGTATAATTATATACTCATTGGTACTTATAAAACATTCTTTACGTTATGTTTAGGTTATTTAAAATCAAAATTAAAAAAATTTAATTGTTTGTTTGAAATGTGTTATTTGTTGTGATATAATTGGTTTGATTTTTATAATATAGTTTAAATTTGCTCAAAGTCAAATTGGACTTTTGTGCCTCGCCCTGCTCTACATATATACTTTGTTTTAAATTTACTTTAATTTATCGAATGTTACTTGAAATTTTTCAAAAAGCAGGTCAAAGAAGAAATACTTAATTCATTTCCTATCTCGCCTTGCAGAAATTTGAAAAAAATTTATAAGCTTAGTAGTATTATGTACAATTATACACAAAATGAAAAACTTGAAACGTAAACAATAAGTCGAAAGACCAAAAATGACTTGGATTGGATTATACTAGGGAATGCAATACCGGTATACCGGTATACAGAATTACCGGTAAACCGCCCGATTTTTTGGGCGGTATTTTTACCGGTATTGATCCCAAAAATACCGGTATTTTCGGTATTTTTATATAAGCGCTATTTGATACATAATACACTAAAGTTTAAATTTCTCGGAACAAATTTATCTTTAAATTCCATAATCGCATAAACAGCTATATCTTCAAGTGATTCTATAAGATAAACAAATGTCAAATATTATCTCAACTCGTCATTAAACTGGACTGGACTCATTAAATAGAATTGGACTGATAGATTATGATGTTTGTTTCATCTTTTGTAAAAATGTAACGGTTTTTTAAGTGATATTTGCGCCTAAATATTTTATATCATACAGATTATCTCTGCGTAATCTTTATTTTTTTCTAACTTTATACATAATAATTATGATAATTACTATAAATGTTTTTGCTTCTTATTATCTCGACAAAGTATCCGATATTAAATTATATATTTGTAGAAAAATTATTTTTTTAAAATATTGGAGATTATGCTAATTTAACACATCGGATACAGACAATACAGTTTATTATAATAATGTAATATGATCTTTTATGAGTTTTTGGTCTTTCTTACTCATAAGTTTGTTTTCGTGAAAAGTACTCAATATACTTGATAGTGATAATGAATGAATTAAATTGGATATATCTTTGTTAAATTATTATTTAAAAAAATAAACTTATTGTTTAGTTGAATATAGGTGTAGTTGTACAGACATTTTTTTATATTTGCACTAGTAACTTTCAATTTTGTTTACGTTTGTTTAAGATAATGAAAATACCGGTAATTTACCGGTATTTCGGTTTTAAAATGAAAAATTACCGAAATACGGGTATTGAAATTTTCCATCGATATTGCATTCCCTAGATTATACCATGTTTTCTATAGAAAGTGTATAAAACTTCCAGTTTGAATTGTATTGACAAAATATGGACAAACTAAAGGGGTTTATTGTTTCTATAATACCTAATTGTATACAGCATTCAAACAATAACACATCCTTATACACTTAAAGTATTAATATTTTTGATTCTCTAGAAATTGTTTAGAATATACCTTACTTAGCAAAACAACGTTTGCCGGGTCAGCTAGTAAATAATAATTGTTCCAAAATTTCTACTCACCGTTTCTCCTATATAGTCAATAGTCTTCATCGTAATCAAATTTCCTTCCTCGTCCGAACTGTTACAAAGACTGACAACATCCACATCGGCGCTCTCATCATTCTTCGGGCCACAACTGCGTTTACCCTTACTCATCTCCTCCTTATCGACCGACCGTTTATCACTTTTACCATCCTTTGCTGACTTCTTAGGAGTCTTCTTAGGAGTCTTCAGCCTAACATCCAGAGTCTTCTCCTCTTCGTCCACCGTACTGATATCGTAAACATTCATATCGGGTGCAGTGACCAGAGAGTTCCTGGTCATCCTAGGTTTTGGTTTAGTATCATAATTACCGCCACCGTTACTCACTTGCAAGGTGCGGGTTAGTTTGACTGTCGGTACCATTTTGTTGGCGGACTTGTCGCCGGCGTTCGATTTGGGTTTGCGGCCGGCTTTTTTCTTTTTGGCTGGGGCGACTGGTTTGGTTTCATCGTCGGTGTCTGCTTCTTCTGGTGTAGTACTCCTTTGCGATCGCTTCGATTGTTCAGCTTTGTAAGTGAACAAGCTGTTTGGACGTTTGAGGAGCTCTTGGTGCTTTTGGAGTTCTTCGAGAGCTTTGTTGAGGGTGACGGTGCGTTTCATTAACTAAGGGAGAAAAACAACTTTATAATATAGCTCTGATTTTAATCATTTCTGAAGATGAACTTCTTTAGGTGCGACTAGGGAGTAAATTTACGAGATGAAACTGAAAATATGACGATAGTCCGTTACGCCTAAGTATTTATACTGAAAACAGATTTTGTAACTATGGACAGTAGGGGCAGTCGGGGCTACTGCCAAGGGCGGCAAATTTTCGGGAGCGGCAAATGTGATAGTGAGAAAAAAATTCTATACAATATAATTAACTCATTTTTTTAATAACATTTTTTATTTCAATAAATATAATTAACAAAACATAATACGATTGCAATTGAAAATTTGGAAATTTGGCTTATATAAAGTTTGAAAGCTGAAAGTTTAAGAAAAATATGTTCTTCAGATCTAGAGCGCCCTTAAGATAACGAATTAGTGCACTTCCAAGCTTATATCGCAAAAAAAAAATTAAACTAGCGACGCTTGGCATTGTGCTTTAAGTCAAGTTACTGAAACTTCCCGTCACATTTTATAAAGAGCTTTAAAATTTTTGAAAAATGAAAAAAAGTGAATTTAAAAAACTTTTATATTTTTAATTTTGTTTTTTTTTTGTGAACTTTTATTTATTAAGATTAAAATTTTCTTTAAACTTTGAAACAACTATATTTTTAAGATTTTATATTTTGGAAAAAAGGACTTTTTTCAAGAAAAAAAAACTTTGAAAAAAAATGTTACCCCGTAGTTATAGTAATGGGCCAAAAATCAAAAATGAAAATTTTTGCATTTCTCGACGTTTTGAAGGTTTCTAAACATTTTGGCATACCTAAGACAAAATGGATGTGTGTGTGTGTTTTGTATGCCCGCATTTTTTCGTCCGCGTTTTCGGGCGCACGGATCAACCGATTTGAATGGTTTAAAAAACATTCGATTCCTATTGCTAGGGAGATGTGCTGCTTAGTTTTTGGCAAAGACAGGTCCCGCAATTTCGAAGATACGAAGTAAAGAGTGCAGAAAATAGAAATCGAATGTTTTTGAGAGAACGGAGTATCGGATTTGAATGATCCAAAAAACATTCAATTAGTAGTGAATGGGAGAAGAGGTGAGTAGTTTTTGGCAAAGGCAGGTCCCGCCATTTCGAAGATACTGAGCTAAATGTGCAAAAAATTGCAGTTTTTGAGTGAACTAAGCGTCCGATTTGAAATATCTAAAAAAACTTTCTGCTTGTATTGCTACAAAACAATTGCTTTTGAGGATAAAAAATTCTAACATCTTTTTTTATTTTCCATAAAATATTTTTGTAATTTTGGATTAAAAATTGAAAAAATTACCCAGGCTAAGCACAGTCTAAGCGCCACTCTGGTACAAATGTTTACCCAAGTGCGTTTAGACTGTAAATGTACTGGAACACTTTTCCAATTTTGTGAAAAACTATTGAAAAATATGAAAATGCCGCCAAGCTAAGCACAGTATAAGTGAAAATGTCGCACAGAATTATTTGCAAATGCATATTAGACTGTGACTATACGGGAGCACTTTTTCAATTTTGTGTAAATTAAGCAACTATTTTTTTAAATTGGCAGCACTTCTCCTTATCAATACAAATCGAATGTTTTTTAAATTATTCAGGTCGGTTGAACCGTGTAAATTTGTATCCGAACACTCACACACATATACATCCATTTTTTTCTAAGGTATGCCAAAATGTTCAGAAACCTTTGAAACGTAAAGATATATGAAAATTTTCATTTTCGATTTTTTTCAAGTAATCAACAGTACATTTATTTTTAATATTCAAACAACTTATCAAAACCAAAATGCTGGAACGAATTCATGGCATTTCAATGTGTTCCTGGGAAAAAAATTGTTTCTAAATACGCGCGATTACGCAACGGATTATTAAATTATTATTAAATATGAAATAAGGGCCAAAGGACCAGGATAAATAAATAAATCAACTAATAAACTTTTATCTTACCTGCATGTCCTGGTAAGGAGTATCGATTGGTTTAACACATTGCGGATCAATAATACCCCGAAAGTGTTTGCCACCAAAAAATCTTACATCGTAATTTCCATCAGCATTAATTTTAATAACCTGAAAACAGTAAAAAAAAAACATATATAAATAACAAGTAACTAAGTATTTAATAATATAATTAGTAAGACAAAATTAAAAGTAAATCCAACTTATAGATCTGTTATAAATAGTTTTCTTTTTAATTAAAAGAATAAATAAATTACAAATATTTATTACCTTAGCAGGCCAATAAGTGTATCCTTTCTGCTTGGCAAAAACCAGTTCGTGTCTGGGTAAACAAGGTTTTGCAAACCAGAGAGGATCATCCTGTTCATTTGAATGCCGGTAGCAATCTCTGCACTGTCTAATTTCACTCAAATCGAAAGTGCTATCATTCAACATATATTTAGCAGCTTCCATCTGCTCAGAGGACACTGAAATATAGACACAATCAATTACTAATAAGTTCGATTTTTGATAGATTCTATTTTTTTTTACCTCCAAACAGTATCCCGACATGATGAACAATATCAGAAACGTCTGAAGAGAATCCGGTGAGGCTTTCATAAGCTCCACGTCTAATTTTGTCCTGCATTTTTCTTAGAGACATTGGAAATCCCCGAATCAGGTAAAGGGAACACCAGGCCTCGTCGCTTGAAGTGATTGGTGTTTTGCCAGAAGGAATCATATCACTTAGGGATTCATCTGGTAACTGAAAAAGAAATTATTGAAGAAGTGAAATTACACAAGATGGAAATAAAAATATAAGTTGATTTTTATTGAACTCATATTGTTAACTTCCCGTGGGGTAAGTTATAGTAATCGCAAAAAAATCGAAAATGAAAATTTTTATATATCTTTACGTTTCAGAGGTTTCTGAATATTTTGGCATGCCTTAGAAAAAATGGATGTATGTGTGTGTGTGCGGATACAAATTTTCGTCGACTATTTCGGGAACACCGATCAACCGATTTGAATAATTCAAAAAACATTCGATTCGTATTGATAAGGAGACGTGCTGATTAGTTTTTGGCAAAGGCAGGTCTAGCCCTTACGGAGATATGGAGCAAAGAGTGCAGAAAATAGAAATCGAGTTTTTGAGAGAACGGATCATCAGATTTGTATGATACAAAAAACATTCAGTTCGCAATGACGAGGAAAAGTGGTTATAAGTTTTTGGAAAAGGTAGGCCCAGCGGTTTCAAAGATACAGAGTTAAATGTTAAAAAAATGGCAGTTTTAAAACTTTTTTTTCTAATTTTTTTTCAAAAAATATTTTTGTAATTTTGGATTAAAAATTCAAAAAATTACCCAGACTAAGCACAGTGACATAAGTGAAAATGTCGCACAGGGACTATACGGGAGCATTTTTTCAATTTTGTGTAAATTAGGCAACTTTTTTTTTGAAATTGAATTCGAAATGCAATGACGATTGTTAATGGTCTGGAGATAAATTGATTTATTTATGATATACATTTGATTTGCTCAGATATAACAAGATAGAAAAAATAATGAAAGTTACAGTATTTGTAATAATATATTTGAAAACATTTAAAATTTCTCGAATATTTCATTACGGTACGGGAAGTTCCAGCAATTTGCCTTAAGGCACAATGCCATACACCACTAGTTTTAAAATAAAATTTTCAAAAAATAGTGTTGAGCTTAAATTGTAAGACTTGCTCTAATTATATTTACCCAGGTGTGTATCCTGTCATAAGTAAACTGCAGCAGATAATTTAATTCTTTAACAGTACAATCAACCAAACCGCCTTCCTTCTGTTCCAAATTAGCTAGCCGGCAAACATAACAATGTGTATCAGTCCCCACTTTACTAGAGAACTCATCCTCAAAGTCCTCATCGTCACATTTAATCTCCTTTTTATCAATGTCTTCCTCATCAACAGATTTATTTTTAACTGCAGATGCCAACGGAAGTAGTTTTGTGTTTTGTGACAAGGTAGAAACACCATTATCTTCTGATGAAGTCTTGTCGGACGTCGAATTAGGTTTAACCGTATCTGTAAATTTACCAATATTAAATTATTATCCAAATATTGCTTTAAGTGGCACAACTAGTGTGAAATTTTCAAAAAATCGAATTTTCAATTTTTCCATATTTCGATAGGTTATACCGTTAAAAATAATATACCAAAATTTTATATCGATGTCTTAAATAGTTTTTGAGTCACAACCATTTAAAGAGTATATATATAGTATATAGTATAACGATGATTTTATCTTTAAAAGCGTTTTTCTCGAAACAGCATTTTCCGAATTTGCTGCAGCGATTACTCAAAAACAAATGATCCGATCACTATCGTTTTTTTTCACATGTGCTATATATAGTTATCCGTAAAATGAACTATCGATTTTTTGATCGGATCAAAATTCGAATTTTGGCAGCCTAAAAACGACCAAAATTTTGGGTAAAATTCGATTTTTTTTTAAAAAACGCCGTCATTTTGTCAATTTTTGATTTTTTATTATCGTAGTTCATTTTACAGACAATATTATCTGGTTTAATGAATTTTTTTTCAATTTCATCCACTTAGAAGGCTGGAATCACTGCAGCAGTGAAGGGCCTTTTTTTGTCGCGCCGTTGGAGATCGACGATAACTTAAAAAATATTTAATTTTTTTCTTCAAAAATTGTACTATGTATTCTTAAAACATGCATAAATATATCCTTAAAATTTTGAAATGATTGATAAAGTAGTTTTTTTAATATAAATTCCCAAAAATCATCTATTTTTAGGCGGTTACACTAGTTTTGCCCCTTGAATTGCATTAATTCCTACCGTCGTCTTCTTCTTCAATGATGACAACATCACTGGAGTCGCTTTCGATGCTATTTTCTTCCACAGTGTCATTGAGTTTTCCATTAACACTTTTCATCAGCATCGATTTGTCCCTAGAGGAATCATTTAAGGAGTCATTTTTATGCGCAGCTTTAGTACTGCTCATAAAACCCATGCTCAATTTTACACAAGTCGAATGAAATACTCGGTGGCACCCTTGGCATGCTGTCACATCACCGGCCAGATGACACTCGTAACAATACCTAGAAAAATAAATAAATAAATAAATATACAGTAGAATGCGATTAGTATGACGCCGGATATATTGACAACCGCTTAATATGACGTAATCGCACTAGGAATTTGGTTTGCATATAAAATTCCTTAAAAAAACAGCTTTCTAGTCGGATATATTGACATCGCTTACATTGACATGTCACTTATGATGACCCATTTTTGCAAAAAAATATGTCCAATTATAATGACCGACAAAATTTTACATGATGTAACCAAGTCTACGAAAGCAATTGCTATGTCTTTTGTGCACAATAGCACCAGGGACTGTTTCTACAATAAAATTATGCAAAGAAATCAATCAAAAATTACTGATTACTTACATTAAAAAACACATTTGTATGTTTATGGGTAGGGTAGACTAATTATTAATGGCCCACCACGGATATCTCATAAACAAATAAAATTAGATTTTTTTTAACAATTGTATTTGATAGTAGAGGGCAAAAAATGTATAAATTCATAACCAGCCATCACCTTTATTCTTATGACTTTGCTATCAGAAGATAAGCAGCACATGACTGCGATAAAAAAAAGGACCAGCTGAACCTTTACTTTGGCAAAGGTGTAAGCAATAAAATAGTAAAGTTCAAAGAAAGCAATTTTACAAAAGATTAATTGAATAAATTGTTATTCCGGCTCTTCTGATGAATATTTCTGACCAATAGCAGATCAATGTAATATACTGTGTTGTCTTTGTAAAAAATGTACCCACAGAATTAATATTTTGCATTGGTTCAATAATGTAGCGTAAAATGCCTTTACAATTTAATAGAAGAAATTGCATCGGTTCACCCCCTGATTGTTCCACTTTACCCCGTATGTGAGGTAAAATGGGTCAGGTACCCAATGTTTAAAAAATAGTAAAAAATATAATAGTTATATAATTATTATAAAAATATAATATATTAATATAATATTATATAATTATTATGTAAGTTTTTCTGAACATAGTTCGATAGATGTTTCTTTGATGTACTATGTTTTGTGTTGTTCATTGGGTTTAGACAGTATAATTACCGTAAGTCAAATTGGACTGTTGTGCCCCGCCCTACCCTATGTCAATTTTATTTTATATTAAATTTTAATGTTTAATTTTTATTTTTAATTAAAACATTTGTATAGGCTTTTCTTTTAAATTAATGAAACATGTAACATATTTACATACTAAAAAGTTTTTCTTCAGTACGCTTTTAATGACAACCGGTTAGTATGACGAGATTTCGGCGTCCCTTCGATGTCATACTAAGCGGATTCTACTGTATATATATATATATATATATATATATATATATATATATATATATATATATATTCTTATGTTACTCAATTATTATTACCAGTCATGTTTAGGTAACGAAGGAATTTCTGTTGGTATTTTGTAGGTCTGAGATTCTACTCCTCTCTTTTTGCCTCGGGCACCCACTGCATGCACTTGCACCAATAAACCATCCTGGTGACATTTTCTTACAATGTTCTCACCTTCTTCTACAAATAGTAAAAATAAAAGTTAATCTTTTATGCTTTGGACTGTGGTATTATTCACTTTTAACGCGTGCATTCTTTGTATTTAATATAACATTCACAAATTGTATGCTATCTATATTATCTTTGTTTTTCAAGCTGTTTGGATTTAGTTAAATATTATATTATTCATTCTTCTATTAACTTCATTCTACTTAATTTCTGTTTGTTAAATGTTATTTTGATGAAAATAATAGGTTGTCAATTGTAAATTATTGTGAATAATTGTATAATAATTATTTATTGCATATAATATGGTATATTTTATAATTCACCTTTAATAAAGATTTTATCACAATTATGATTTTCACTCTTTTTTTGTTTATAGACTACTTTTCAGGTTGAAAGATTCAAATATTCAAACATACTAAGTACTCATAGATAAACAAACACCACCTTAAATCAGGCTAAGAATTTTGACATTTGCACATTTCAGCCAGCATGAAGTTGGCGACGAAATAGAAGTTAGCCGTCAAAACCGTATAATGTGTCAATACTAATACTATACGTCAAAACTGTCAATAATTTGACAATTGTGCAAACAGGATTTTTATTTTTTTTATGTTGGCGACACTGTTTAAAGAGGCATCGTGCATGGGGGGTTATCTCTGAACAAATACGCTTTACCGTGTTTTGACATTGGGTATTGCCAAGCTTAGATTATAGATGGCTTACATTCGCTCAATTACAACAACGCTCGTTCGCGCATTTGACAGCCGTCGTATGAATGTGCCAATAACCTATATGTTGTTGCTGATCGAGATCGGCAATCGGATCGGATTTGATCAAGATCGTTCGATTCTAAGTATCGGTCTAATATTGCGTCTTTTCTAAACAAAGCGCAAATTTGTCAGGGGCTTGCTCCGCTTCCGACACAAAATTATAAGGTGAACGTGCCTTTTGCTACTTTCTTTCCAAATTCTGGATCGGAATTGGTAATGGATTGAAAGTAGCACATTAGAAAGTGTTATTCAAAATTTTCTAAAGTACAGTGTTTTATATTTTAATAAATTCAGTGGACATCAAATAAAATCACTAGAATTCCCGGGCGGGAGCCTAGGAAAATGTCGCAAGACATGGATGTCTTGACGAGCACCGTCCTCAAAAATAAGTACCAGGCGTTATCGGACCGCAGTGAAATGGACACGGATCGAGAGATAGACGAGTACCGGGTAGTGAAACGCAAGAAGCGACTAAGGCAAAACAACGTTGAAAATGCGACAGGAAACCAGAACGCAACTACTCAGAAGCCATCTACATCGAAAACAGAGCAACTAGGAGCCAAGAACACCACCGCACCGCAGTCAAGGATACCACCTATCATCGTCAAAGGCCAGCTAGACTTGAAAGTGATCAAATATATCAAAGATACGACGAAAATAATATTCAGGACCCAATATTTAAAGCCACAATTGCACAAAATATATGCCGATACGATTGCAGAACATGAAAAACTGAAAACCATACTAAGGGATTGTGATTTCCAATTTTACACCTATACTATGCAGCACGACATCCCTAAGAAAATCACTATCACTGGCCTAAATCCAGACATGACTGAAACGGTGGTTCTAGAAGAGCTGAAAGCCAAGGGCATTAAGGTAAAGCAGGTGGTCCAAATTAAGAAGAAGGAATCGGACGGCAGTCAGCGCAAACTCCCTATATATATTGTCCTTCTAGATAAGGAACAAGAGATGGCCAAACTGAAGGAAATAAACAATATAGAAGGGCATATATTCAAATGGGAGAGTTACAGGCCACTAAATAAGACTATACAGTGCCACAAGTGCCTGAACTTCGGCCATACCTCGTATACGTGCGACATGCGGTATAGATGCATAAAATGCACGAACGTGCACCCACCGGGAGTGTGCACGAAGCCACCAACCGAGGACCCGAAATGCGTGAACTGCCAAGAAAACCACCCGGCTAACTACTCACAATGCCCAGCTCTAATTAACTATAGAGCAAAAAGGGATAAAGATGCGCAAAAAAGACACCAAACATACAGGCCAGCGCCAACACCCGCGCCGCTGACGAGGAGCTTCTCGTCAGCTTTAAAACCCACCAACGATGGCCATAACAACAGATCTGCGTTTCCTGAACTCCCGGTACCATCATCACCACGTATACCGCCGGCCTCCCAGTATCCATCGCCGAAGATCCAGCCAGCACCAGAACCGATCCGGCCAGCATCCTCACGAATCCGGCCTACCACCAGCCAGTCCGATCCAAACCTGAGTACACCAGAGGGACTATTTACTGTTATGGGTGAGATCAGGAAGTTATTCGCGGATCCCGAGGTAAGACAAATTTTCAGTGAGCTTTATAAACTGACAAAGACATTGAACACAAATATGACTTACAATGACAAATACACAACCATACTTAACTTTTTAACGGCATGCCCATAAATCACGCACGCGACATACACATAATGTACTTCAACTCCAACGGACTCAAAAACAACGTAGACGAACTGAAACAGACCATAACAAAATATGACTTGGACATTGTACTAATTAACGAGACACACCTTAAACCTACGGACAGACTTTACATCAACAACTACAAATATACAGGAACGACAGACCGACAAACTCACGCGGATGGGGAGGCACTGCGATATTGATCAAGTCTAATATAAGACACGAGCAAGTGCCAAACCTGACAGCGGGCGGTTCTGAAATAACAACTATTAATGTATACAAAAGAGGTCAAAAAGTGACTATAATATCGATTTACATCCCGGCAAGCGGACTGCAACTGACGGACCTACAAAACCTACTTGACTCAAATACACACGTCTTAATGGCAGGAGACTTCAACGCGCAACATACATCCTGGAACTGCAACTACAACAACGCGAACGGAATCCGACTCTACGAATATCTGACGGAACACAACACCACGGACGCACAACTACACTATCCTGACACGCCGACCAGATACGCCACCGTACAGACGCACCACCACAGCACGATCGACCTGGCCTTGACAAAAATCTTCACATACCATCCGAACCCATAACTAGAACACTTTTCAACTCTGACCATAACCCTGTTTTTATGACTATCTCTGACAGACTCGACGTCGACAATACTCCAGCACGCAACATTTTGGATTATTCCAGAGCCAACTGGCCACTTTTTAGAGAAATTATTACAGACAATATACGACACACGATACCCATAGAGACCAATACAGACATAGAGGAGGCTGTGACACATCTGACACGGACGATCACGGACACCATCCAACACACAATACCGCTGCGACACGCAAATACATCCACATTTGACACGCTTCCTCAACAAATATTAGTAAAAATTAAATTAAAGAATGATATAAAGAAACTGTGGCAACGTACTGGTGACAGACTACTAAAGGAACACGTAAACAGACTGACAAAAATTATTCATAATGAGATACGTGAGCACCGGAATGACACTTGGACTAAAAAACTAGAAACCATCAACACTGACCCGCACAAAGTTTGGCAAACAGCCAAAAGACTGACGAGGAAAACAACACCTATCCCGCCACTCAAACTACCTGACAACAACTACGCCACGACACCAGCAGACAAAGCAGAAATTTTAGCAACACACTTTGAAAACATACACAGACAAAACGCCGACATGTCCAACGCAGACTTAAGACGAGACGTACGCAATTCTATTCAAAATTTTACTGAACAATTTAACGACAAAGACCTACGAATAGACCCTGCCACAGTTTCAGAAATAAAGTTGACAATCAGAAAAACTACCGAACAGGAAAGCACCCGGACCGGACGGACTACAAAATATAATACTGAAACAACTACCAACGAACGCATACATACTAATTACACGACTGATTAACCGCATAATGGCCAAAGGCCACTTTCCTGCTTCATGGAAAACATCAACTATATTTCCTATCCTGAAGCCGAGGAAACAGCCAGACTCTCCGCAAAATTACAGACCAATCAGCCTCCTCAATACAATGAGCAAAGTAACTGAAAAGATACTGCTCAAACGCATCAACAGACACATCAGACGAAACAAGATTATACCAGACACACAGTACGGCTTTAAGGAACAGCACTCTACGTTACATCCACTGACACAACTAATAGAAAACACTGTACTCAACTTCAATAGACGATAACCGAGAAGGCTTTTGACACCATCTGGATGGACGGACTGATACACAAATTCATAACCCTTAACTTTCCACCATACATAACAAAACTACTCCATTCTTACCTCGCAGACCGTAATTTCACAGTTCAAGTAGACAACACACCCTCGACGATTAAACAAGTGACGGCGGGAGTACCGCAGGGCTCGATCCTGGGACCGTCCTTGTTTAACGTCTACATCCACGACATGCCCACTGACGCCGACACAACACTGTTGACATTTGCTGACGACACTGCCATTTACAGATCATCACGTTCACCTACGCTACTGACTACAAAAATACAGAGACATATAGACGCCCTGACTGATTACACGGAAAAATGGCAAATTAAAATCAATCCTTCTAAAACAGAAGCAATTTTCTTTACAAAAAGCCGTTGGTCCATTACACTTACTGACTTGACGAAACTAAAGGTAATGGGCCATGAAGCTGAGTGGTCCAAGGAAGTCAAATACCTTGGCGTAACCTTGGACTATAGACTCAGCTTCACAAAACATACGAATACAAAAATTGGACAGGCTTACGGGATGATGAATCTACTGAGACCTCTTTTGAACCACAACAGCCCGCTAAGCGTGAAGAACAAGCGGACACTTTACTTGACACTGATAAGACCATTACTGACATACGCCGCTCCGGCATGGAACGCGACAACCAAGACCAACAGACGGAGACTACAAATAGCACAGAACAAAGCACTGCGACTGGTACTAGACAAATCAAGGAACCCACTGACGAGACACTACTACCCAACGAAATATTTACACGAACAGACGGACATACCGACCATACTCGAACACATAAAAAAGCTCACCGAGAATTTTTACCGAAAGTGTAGGGATCACGATAATAGTACCATCCGCGCGTTAGGCCAGTACACATCAGAAATGATCTGGTACGGGAACTATGCCATGCCTAACTACCTGATCGAGCCCGCAGTGAATACATAAGCCATAAAACAATGAATGAAGGATTTTTTTTAGGTGACAAAAATCGTCTCCTTTTTTTGTCCTTGCGAATAATGAATAAAATATTGTACAAATACAAATATAGACAATATTGTAAACCACAAACTTTTGGGTAAAATACCCCAGGGTAGACAAACCCACATATAATTCACTGTATTTTACACTGTATATATTGAATAAATTTTTATTTCTGTCTGTCTGTCTGTTCTGTTGTTGCTAAATATTTCTGTTCTAGTGAATATTTAATAAATAAATTTAGTATGGTCACGTGCCAAGTTGTTTCAACGAATATTGAATTGCACGTCTTAAGTGATGGCCAGGTATGTATGATGAGTTATATTTATTTATATAATGAAAATGTATAATAATAATACACGATGAAAATGTCAGAAGTCAAACACTTTTCAATCAATTCAAGAAAGCATCCTAAAGTTCATGTTCTCCGGAGCCTAAATATGCCGGATTTGTACTATATGAATGTATTTTAATAATAATTATTTTAGAACTTGGTATATCAATGTCAATTCATAAAAATGATGTAAAGGCAGTGGCAGATTGTCGAAGGAGAGTAATCTTACTTCAGGTAACTAAATACAAGTTGCTTATATATTTTTTGAATAATGTAGTTGTATCTTTAAATCAAGTATCTGTCTTTCTTGTAATAATTTATATAATAATATGCTTCTTGTTTAGGCTTCTTTGAGCTGTATTGAAGTGTGTGGATTAGACAAATCTCCTTTACGGGAATCATGAAAGAGTTTTCCTCTCACACAGTCACGACTAGGAGAGCATTCTGATGTAGAATCAGGCGATAATTCTGATAGAGGGTAAACAAAACAATCTAATAAAAAAACACGACAGTGTGCAAATCCAGAGAAAGGGCCAAGTAATTTTAATTCTAAATACCATTTGCAAAGAAAATAAGTAAGGACATAATTCTTGCTTTGAAACTGTACAAAAAGTCTGCAAAGGTATCAAATGCATACATTTTTATTCTGTTTATTGAAAACACCTGGCTTTATAGTTTTTTTTATCTTTTATGGAAGTTTTAATGTTAATGGATTCATCATGATCATAAAATGAGTAAATGTGATTTTCAAAAATCACTCATACACAGAAACTATTTAAAGATTTCGTCAAATGTAACTTTATTAATGATTGATTAGATAGCAAAGTAACTATTAAATGGAGAGATAATAAAGAAGAACATCTCGTAAATGAATTTTAATCCTAGGAATTTAGTTTTATCTCTATTTAGTTTCGAGGTTTATTTTGTTTGGGAAGTATCGTTCTTTTTTAGAAATTTGCTGTTCTTTTTATTCTTTAAAATTTTTGCATTACTTGCCATTCCTTCTAAATTTGTAATTCCATCGTCAATACTCCTGCGCTTTTCACTTCTTAGTTTTTAAGTTTTTAATATATTATTATTAGTCATTAAGTAATTAATATTAATATCGTTAATTAATATTAATAAGTTACTTTTCTTTAGTTTGTAGTACTTTAAAAATATGTTTGTAATATACTTTAATTAATAGTAGTCAGTTATTTCTGTTTAGTTTATATTTCTTCCAAAATATGTCTGTGATATATTTGAAAATATATTTTGTATTTCGTATGTTTTGTTCTTATTTCAAATATTAAAATTTTTTTAGATTTTTTGGCTGTAATGATTATATGTACAAATGTAGAAGTAATACCAGGGGTTAATTTACAAAATGAACATGTGCTGCCATCAATAATCTTAGCTCCGCACTTCAATCGATGAAACGTCAAATCGCCCGACATAGCTATCTATTTATACTTGTTTATCTATGGCATCGTGTGCTTTTGTCAAAAAGTCTCTCTAGCGATGCGTACGTTATTAAACAGATGCAAAATTATCTACAACACGTGCAAGTATATTTAAATTCATTATAATATTTGATATATTTGAAAAGGATACCATACACAGTGAAAATGTCTGAAGAAACAATTATGAATGATCAGAAAATTAAAATTGAACCACTAGAACTTTCAATAGAAGACATAAAACTTGAAAATGAATGTAATGGAAATCTTGCAGGTATTGTTAAGTCTGATTCATGTTTAGAAGATGATGAAACTTGCCTGGAAAGATTTATGAATTCCGAAATAACTATTGAAGAAGAACTCAAACAGGAGATAATTGAGACAGCCGATTGTGAATATGAAATTGATAATAGATCATTTTCAGAATCTAATTATTCGAAAGAGCACATGGTTGATGATGATCAGAAAATTAAAATTGAGCCACTTTCAACAGAAGACATAAAATTTGAAAATGAATGTGATGGAAATCTTGAAGGTATTGTTAAGTCTGAATCATGTTTAGAAGATGATGAAACTTGTCTGGAAAGATTTATGAATTCCGAAGTAACTATTGAAGAAGGAATCAAACAGGAGGTAATTGAGACACCCGGTCCTGAATATGACATTTGTAATAGAACATTTTCAGAATCTAATTATTCGAAAGAGCACATGGTTGACCACATACCTAGAAATGGCAAAAATGGCAACGATAATTGCAATGTATGCGATAAGACATTTAAATATTCATCAAGTTTGCAAAAGCACATGCTTACTCATAGCACAGAACGCCCTATCGAATGCAAAATCTGTCATAAGACGTTGAAACATAAAAGCACTTTGAAAGGACATATGCTCATTCATACGGGAGAACGCGCTTTCAAATGCAAAATATGCAGTAAAACATTCCCACAATCGGGTAAATTGAATAGGCACATGCGTATTCATACAGGAGAACGCTCTTTCAAATGTGAAATTTGCAATAAGACATTTTCACAAAAATATCATATGAAATCACACATGGTCACCCATACTAAAGAGCGTTCTTTTAAATGTATAATATGCAATAAGACTTTTTCACAATTGAGTGACTTGAATAGGCACATGCGTATTCACACAGGGGAACGCCCTTTCCAATGTGATACATGCAATAAGGAATTTGCACATTCGAACAGCTTGAAGAGACACAAGGTGACTGTTCATAATGGAAAACGTGATGAAGATCAATGAAATTAATATTTCATTGATCAGAAAGCAGAAAGCAGAAATATCTATGAATTACTTATATTTTATTTAGATTGTAAATTTAATTACTGCTGTACAAATATTTAGTACTATGAATAAATTTATATAAATATATTTGTTTTTATATTATAAGATTCACAGATATTGTAACAAACTTTATTAAAATGCATCTTTCTTATTAAACTGTACTCAGTCGTAATATTTCAAACAGAATTAAAAACAATTTTTGATCCATTAATGCCAAATTATACTTAAGGCACGATGCCATACACCACTAGTTTCTTGCGCTTTTTTACAAATTTAAGAAATTCACTATTAAATAAAGATATACATTATTATTATTAAGGTAAAGCATTATAAAAATAGTGTGAGCAGAACGAAATTTATTAAAATCTTCAATTGGAACATAATAACTAGCATAATTTTTGTTTATTACTATTCAATTAAAACTAATTTGCTATTTAATGAAAATTCGTTAAGACACTTAAGTATCTATATGATATATAGCATATATCGATTGATATATGCGTTTATTTTAAAAAATGAATTTAGAAAAGTATTTTGTTTTAATTTTTGTTTATAATATCTTCTATTTAAATTATGTTCAGAAATCGCACTGAAAAGGATTCGAATCAGGACTCGAAAAGTCTACTAAATTAATTACATTAATTTGTGTATGTTTATATGCAGCGCAAATTTTCTAAATAAAACACAATAAATCAGTTATATAAAGATATTTTAATTGGAATAGATATTATATTAATGAAATAGTCAAATGAAATGTAAAATATGAAAACTGTTTTCATAATCTCTCATAGCAGGCACCTCTGTCTGACTGAGATATGGAAACTAGTGGGGTGTATGGCATGGTGCCTTAAGGCAAATTGCTGGAACTTCCCGTACCGTAACGAAATGTTCGAGGAATACTGAATGTTTTCAAATAGATTAATATAAATATTGTAACATTGTCTACATATAATATAAAAGCTATTTTTTTATACTGTTATTAGTTCCACTGATGATAACATTAAATTGAATGCCGAAACGTTTGGAATTAAAGATTAATTTATAAATCTTTGCTTTTTATTCTTTGATGTATCGCCCCACAAGAACTTACTTATATATATATATATATATATATATATATATATATTTGTATATATATACATCTATTACCTTGATTAATTGATAGAATCCTCGCAACATTTTTCCCCAAACGAAAAGCATCAGCAGCCTGCCTCTGATGATTAACCAATCTGATAGCCTCCCAAACAGCTTTCACCTCTTCAGGATCAGCACTTCTAAACACCGGCATCTTGTCAAATATTATTATTATACTCTAAATCTATTAACTCTAGATTTGTTCTAGAAAATCACAGTCGCTTAAGATAATTCAATGTCTTGTCATTTGCAAAAACGAGATTGCACGTTTCAGCATGACATTATTCCATGAATCAGGAATGGAGAGGGTTAATGGTTAACCATAGTAGTGATCGGTTGTCTTCAAACTTTAGATTTGTCTTGATTTGTTTTGTACTGAGTATGTGACATACTCATCGATGAATTGTTTCATCAGGATAAATCTTCTTCAGTGATTTAGTCAATTGTTCTGCACACACCAAGTTGCAGGCGTGGCTTTTGCGAAGTAAAAAGCAGTAGCAGGGCTACATTTGGAAATTGTCCAATCTGCAAAAAAAATCTAAATTATTTATCTATAATATCAAATCATATGGTGAGGATTGACTAATTTATAATAAACACACAGACATATTAAACTAGTTGGTTTGGTAGTTAGCCTTGAGGCAAGTTACATGAACTTCCCGATATGTGTAAATAATTGACTTAATCAATAAAAAATAAATTAATTTAGGAGTGATTAAAAGTATTCCGAGTGGATCTATTACACATAATTGAAAACGAACGAACACGTTAACTCGGAGTATTTTCTAAAAGCAATTTTTCAAAAATCAACAATTTTTATAATTGAATCAGTTTCCGCAGGACTTTAATGATAGGTATGTTCATTAAGACCAAGTACTACTATCATTATACCAAGTAATTCCTCTAATTGTAATATTAACGAATGTCAAAAAAACTACTCATTTTCTCAAACTTTGATAAAATTTTAAAATTATACTACTTGTCGTAAGGCCGTAATATTTCAGTAAGTTCTATAAGACCATGATATATATCGCCAAAAAAAGTTCCATGAAAATCGGCTTAAATTTTTTTTCAACAACGAATTACAAGAAAACGGCTTGGTAGTAATTCTATACCCATTGTAGTAATTTTACACCCATTGTAGTATTTTTACACCCATTGTAGTAATTTTACACCCATTGTAGTAATTTTACACCCATTGTAGTAATTTTACACCCATTGTAGTAATTTTACACCCATTGTAGTATTTTTACAAACATTGTAGTAATTTTACACCCATTGGACTTATGTACATCAAATTATCAGATATTTTATAGAGATTTTAATACTGTGTACATATTTTGTGTAATTTTTTTTGGGTCCAGTACCAAAATTTTTAATTTCGATATGGGAAGTTCTAGCAATTTGAATTAAGGCACGATGCCATGCACCCCACTAGTTAATAAAAATGTTTAAAAGATAAATTTGGTTATAATTCTTCTCCCCCAGAACCTGGTTATATATGAAGACTATGGTATCTACCGTCAAAAAAAAATCATAAAAATCGTCGAATTTTTTTTTTAACTTTATTACAAGAAAACGGCCCGGCCGATCTCTACCAAAGACTAATCAGCACGATTCCCAACCAATATGTTTCGAACGGTTTTTGAATTTTCAAAATCGATTCAGAATTGCGGGCTAAAACGTGGACGAAATTTTTTTCACTTTTCTGCGATTTAGAACAAAATGGCCCGGCCGATCATCGCAGAAAACTCAGAAACGCTAGTCCTCATCGAGGAAAAAATCTGTTCACATACACGCACACACACACATAGACACACACACATACTTTTTCCAAATTCGGTCTCATTCGATTCAGAATGGCTTGAAACGTCGAGAAAACATAAAATTAGCGAATCGGATTTTTTGATGAAAACATAAACTTCTCCTTCGGGAAGTTAAAAAAAATTATATATATTTTTACCTAAGATTTTTGGCTAGATTTTAGGGCTTGTCGAAATTTGGTTCATCAAATTAATTGCTCTGATTGTGATTCAATTTATATTGGCGAAGCTTGCCAAAATTTAATAAAATTCCTTCAGCAACACAAAACAATTTCAAAAACGCCAAACTATTTAAAACAATGTCAAATACAATACACATAAACTTTTGTAATCCGACTTTTCATCATGTTGAAGAAAATTTATCCAAAAGACGTTTCAATTTATCATTTATCAAATTAATTGCTAAGATTGTGATTCAATTTATATTGGTGAAACCAGCCAAAATTTAATAAAATTCATTCAGGAACACAAAACAATTTCAAAAACGCCAAACAATTTAAAACGATGTCAAATACAATATATATAGAGTTTTTTTAATCCGACTTTTCATCATGTTGAAGAAAATTTATACGAGAGACGTTTCGCAGAAGCCTGTTTTATTCATCTATACAACAACAAAATTAATTTTTAGATTCTGTTTCCGATTCAGAACTTATATTAGTCATTTATATTTTCGAACGCCTTATATCAAATTAACTGCTAAGATAAAATTCAATTTATAATGGTGATTGATTAAATTTAATAAAAAGTGGGACATAATTTGTATACATAGTACTTAAAATGTTTCGGTTGAGACTAGATTAAGACTTATCGAAATTTAGTTTATCAAATGAATTGCTCAGATTGTGATTTATTACATATTGGTAAAACTAAACAAAATTTAATAAAAATCCTTCAGCAACACAAAAATAATTCCGAAATTGAAAACAGAATCAAAACAGATTTTTTAAACCCGACTATTTTAATTATTTACTTCAAAGAAACTAAATGTTTTAATTAAGTTAATTGTTCTGGCTAAAACTTAATAATTAAATTACGGAATATTTTCATAATTTTTTAAAACGATGGCTTTACTAAAAATATGTGTTTGCCCATTTTTTATGCACTTTTAAAAAAAATTGTAAACACAATTCATTCAAAATTTAGATGCCAATAACTCTGAACATACAATAATGTAACACAAAATTATCAACAAATATAGTTTTAAATGTTTCATGAATTATTAATAGTTTGGTTTAGTACTGTGTAATAGTGTAGTGTATTTAATTTTCTGTAAATATGTATCTGCAAGTTCCTAAATTTTATATCATTATATATATATATATATATATATATATATATATATATATATACATTATATAATTTATTCCTGAACTAATATAATAATAATTGCATTCACTAGCACTTTTATACTGAAACTGACCACCAGTCCACAAAAATATTCCATTGTCAGAGGAATGGTTTAAAATTCAAATTGTTTATGAAACTCGAAGACGGCGGACATTCAGATAATGCAAAATTTATTAAACAAAAATTCAACATTGGCATAAACAAGTCGACCGAATGTTTTGAGAATACATATACACACACACATATATATATATATATATATATACATGTAAAATTTCTCGCATAATACGCCACCTTCAAGCGCTTTGAAATAAATTGTCCCTGTAATAATACCATTTCATGCTTAAGACGCTTTTTTGAACCGGTTTTAATTTACAAGCTTTCACAGTACATTGATATTATTATAACAAGGTTTATAAGAATATTTTACAATTTTTTATATAATTTTATTAATTAATTTATTAATTTCCCGTAGGGTAAGTTATTGTAATGGGCCGAAAATCGAAATTGAAAAATTTTACATTTCTCGACGTTTTGAAGGTTTCTGAACATTTTACTGACATACCTCAGAAAACTAATGGATGTGTGTGTGTGTGTGTGTATGTATGTATGGATACAACTTTTCGTCCACGTTTTCGGGCGCACGGATCAACCGATTTGAATGGTTCAAAAAACATTCGATTCCTATCGATAGGGAAAAGAGCTGATTAGTTTTTGGCAAAGGCAGGTCCAGCCGTTTCAGAGATACGGAGCAAAGAGTGCAGAAAATAGAAATCGAGTTTTTGAGAGAACGGAGCATCCGATTTGAATGATCTTAAAAACATTCAATTAGTAATGACTGGGAGAAGTGTTTATTAGTATTTGGCAAAGGCAGGCCCAGCCATTTCGAAGATACGGAGCTAAATGTGTAAAAAATGGCAGTTTTTGGGAGAACTAAATGTCCGATTTAAATGATTCAAAGAACTTTCTGCTTGTCTTAACAAAATAATTGATTTTGGAAAAAAAAATTTTGTATATCGAAAATAATTCAGATTTTATTTTTAATTCTGACTATAGTTCTAATATACTTTAAACAAATAATTTCAACTCTGCAATTCAGTTTATATAATTCTTAGAAATATTAGACAATGTTACAATATTTATAATGATCTATTTGAAAACATTCAATATTCCTCGAACATTTCGTTACGGTACGGGAAGTTCCAGCAATTTACCTTAAGGCACGATGCCACCCGCCCCGTTAGTTAATTTATTTATTATTTAATTCATTTATTATATTTTTTGTAAGTTTTAATTAATTTTAAAATACACGTATTTTGTTTCATAAATTTGTAAGAGTTTTTTTTATCAAATTATTTAACAAATATTTAAGCATTTTATATAGTTTAACAAACTTTTAGGTATGAAGATATAGAAGAAAATTTAACAATTCCACTTATTTAATATTTAATAATATATAAAAAGCAAACTACCAATTGATGATATGGATAATTAAGAATTATTATTATAAAAAATCAAGAAAGTTAAGAATTTCATCAATAGATCTTGATTATTAACAATAGTCGATAATCATGTGAATTTTTTTTTTTTTTTAATTTCAATAATTATTACAACTGCTAATTTATTAACATCAAGTAATATTGTTAAATAATAATATAAATTTAAATAAATAAATCATGTGAATAACAAAATATTTTTTCGGATTGACATAATATAAGTTATTATAGTTCTTACTTTAATTCTTTATTTAATTTAAATAATGTGATAATTTAATAAATGATAAATTGTTTTAAAAAAAAGATTAAAAAACAGTAAATTTTTTAGATGTTTAATCTCGACGTTTTGGTCTAGATTCGTTCCTTCATCAGGATTTGTTCTGTAATTTTTAAAACTATTGGTGTCCATATCCTTAATTCAAAATTTGAATAAAATACACAATACAATAAAATAGTGAAAAATCTGAAGTAAAAATATTTTTGCAAAAATCGAAATCAAGCACATAAAGACATTTTTTAGGATTTAGCGATAAGTCACAACATATATATATATATATATATATATATATATATATATATAATTTATCATTATCAACAACCAGCATTAAAAAGAGCTTTCAACTTTCCGTTATTTTTGCAAAACTATCTCTTGATAAAATTTTAAATAACATAAAGGTACCAGCATGTTGTGTTCCAAGAAAAATATTAATGTTAGAAAAAAATATCTAAATCAGTCTTTATTGAAATCCCTAAAAGTATAATGCAAAATTAATTTAAATATATAAATAAAAAAATAATACTTTAAAGTAATTGTTAAATTATCCATGATATAAATAAAATTATTCGAGGTAGTGTATTTGTGCTCGTTGCAATTTTAGAAAAAAAAACTGGTATAAAATTATTTAGTATTTATAAATACTTAAATATTTAATCGTAAGTGTGCAAAAATATATTTTCTGTTGAATTTTAAAAAAATTTAAAAAAATATTCATTCGAAATTTTACATTGCAATTTAGAAAAAATCTTGTACAAAAAATAATTAATAAGTTATAAATACTTAAATATTTTATGGTGTACAATAATATATTTATTGTTATCAATAAAAAAATAATAATAAAAAAATATTAATAAATAACATAAAATAATAATAATACGTTGAAGTAAAAATAATTAAGCGATTCGAGATTTTACATTTGTGCTTATTGCAATTTTTTGTCAAATGTATAATTAAAATTTTTGTATGAAAATAAATAATATTCATAAATTTAATATTTAGTGCTTAGATTTATGTGCTAAAATTAAATTCAATTAAACGTTTTAAATTTTGCTTAAGTACAAAAATCGGAATTTCTAATGGTTTTACATCAATTAAAATTAAAATTGAAATCCTTGTATAAAAATTATTAATATTTATAAGCATTAATTTATATTAAGCGCTTGAATTTATATGCAGAAATATTTTTATTGTTTTAAATAACACAATTATAAATAAAAAAAATTAAACGTTTTAAGCGATATTTAAGTACAAAACTTTTATTAGATTTATTTTAATTTTACTTTTACAAAATTTATTAAATTTTCTATCAATTCATTAAAATTTCACAGTTTTACATTAATTAACTATTATATAGGTAATTATTTTATATGAAATGTAAAATTAAAATTCTTGTATAAAAACAATTAATATTTAAAAATAATTATTTGTAATTTAGTTAGTTGTTTTTATATCAAGCAATTAAAAATTAAAAACATCGTTTTAAGCAATACTTAATTATAAAAATTATTATTAAAATTTCATAGTTTTACATTAGTTTACATCAAATAACTATTAATGATTATTTAAATGAATAATGTAAAATTAAATTTCTTGTGAAAAAAATATTTATATTTATAAATAGTTAATAATTCAACATACAGTTCTTGAGGGTTCATATGAAAAACATAATAGTTCTTTTGTCGAGGAATATCAAATATATATTAAAAATAGTAAAAATTTGTATAAATTTCTTTAAGCAATATTTAAAGGCAAAAACATTTTTTTTTACTATAATTTTAGTTATTTTTTATAATTTTATGTTAAAATTTGTATTAATTTAACCTTCACATAATTATTTTATATATAAATATTGAACAAATTCATTTGAATTACTTTATAATATATTTTGATCGTAAGATTTGTTTTTGTGGTTTTCTCATACCCATAATATGAGAAACAAATTATATTTATTATAAATTTTATCAAAAGAATTATGTTACCCAATAATTAGTGATTCGTAAACAAAAATATATTTGTGAATATATCGCATTACCATTTTTGTGATAAGGTGATGAAAACATAAATGTGCACCTTGTGAAAATAGAAATATAATACAATTATACAGGAGATAAAAATATATTGCTAAATTATAGCTATATATAAAATATAATATTTTAACTATAAAAAAATTATTATGTTTGAATTCTCATGGCCGATTATAATATCAAGAAAATTCATATATACTCGTATATAATTAAACACTAATTATAAATAATATTTATAATACTAATTATAAATATCATAAACATTAATATTTGTATAAATAATAAGTCTTCAGACAAATCGGTCATATATGTAATATGTATTATTTGTTTTAATATTATTCCATCTATTATTTTAAAAATGTTAGATAAGATGTTAGGATACGGTTTGCTAACAAGCGGCACTGTAGGCCTCATCTACCAAATCATGATCCTGTTCCGAAGCAGAAATTCCAAAACCAATCAAGACATCGATATTTGGCATTTTGTATCAGAATCAGCGAGTGCTATAGCACTTGGAGCACTACATTTACTAGCAGCACCATTAGAAAAGGAAGCGAGAAGTGCAAGTGCAGACAACAACTCGTGTGATGGGAATTTTTACACAAAATACATCATTTTTGCTGTGTCTTTAGCACAATGCTCGTTGTCTTTAATGCTGTATAATTTGGAGTGCTATCAAAAAGCATCTGGGGATAAAGAACAAGTTGAATTAAAAGTTAAAGTAAGAAGTAATTTGTATAAATTGGTTTTGGTGCCTTTGGTAATGCATAGTTTGCTAACAATGCCTGTATTCTTTGCTGATAAACAAATGTTTAACGTTTCTATAACCGAGTTTGAAAGAACTGTATGCCCCGAGTTAATGAATATGCAACAATGTGGTGGGTTATTCGAACATAACCAGACTTTGTTAGAAAGTTATAGAGACATTATAAATCATACTGTAAAAGCTTCGACTTACATTGGAAATTCTTCACAACCAATTGATGAAGTGCTTTTGAAAATCAAACAAGTTGTATCTAATTTCAATGCATCAGAACAAGATGTTGATACAAATTTCTATGTGAGGCCTCATGATTTTAATTTAAAAACAGCGTTGATGGTGCGACGGCCTAAAATGCCGGTGCACTGCGTGACTTTCTGTTCAGCACCCAGAAATTTAATAAAAATACATCTATTCTTCACCATCTTGCTAGCATTCATAACGCCTGTGTTCATCAGCATTTTGTTTTATGTTAAATTTGCAAACAGAACCAAAAGTTCTGCACGAGACCTGTCTGATGACGCATTAGATAAACAAACCATTATAAATAATAAACATAGTACAAAATGCAAAAAACGAAACGCAAAAGGATCAATTTTGCTAAATCTCATTCTCTGGACACCTGCCGTTGCCGACTTTGCTTTAAAGGACTTAATTTGTGCGACAACAAACAATGTCGATGTCGATAACCTAACTTACGTACTTGCCAATTCCTATTTCTTGTTCCGAGAGTTTTTAAATTTGTATGTTTTGAGAAGTCATCAATTATCGGAAAACACTATAGCACCAGGTCAATAGGAAAATTCACTTTTTTTTCACTGTAAACACTAGCAATATTTGTTTTTATTTCGATATATCAAACTGTAGCGGACATCTTGGATTTTTACAACTGTCAAGGAAAAGGACTGCAACTTCAGGATAATCGAAAGAGAGCGGGAAAAAGAAAATTTAAAATGGAAAAGGACTCCGGTGATAATATTAAAGGAGAAATATAAATAGTAAACTAGGTGTAAGTTGCAATAATTTCTCAATGTATGTAAATAATCTACGTAATCAATAAGAATTCAAATTTTTCTATTTTAAAATAATTTTCTACTGTTTATTTCGAAAATAAAGAGTTTGCTTTCGCCAAGGTGGTTTTCAATTGATATTCTTCTCAATATCTATAATTGTATTAATTAAATTTATCATTATATATATATATATATATATATATAAATTAAGCGCAACCAGCTGTAAAATTTCAAAATTTTTATACTCTAGAATAATATTTTTATACTTTCTGAACTTTATTGAATTTTTATAATTAAACTACTTTTTTAAGCCTATAATATTTTAAGATGTCCTTTTAGAAAATAAATTTTATTAACTTATTTTTTTTTCAAACTCTTTACCACCAGCTTGATTTCAAAATGATACCTTTCAAACGGTTTTTGTATTTTTAAAATCGGTTCAGGAAAAAAGTGCTAATTATAGAGAAACGGCTCGGCCGATCGTCTTGCAAAATTAATCAACGATGAGAACTCATCAAGTTCTATCGAATGGCTTTTAAATTTTTAAAATCGGTATAGCCGTTTCTGAAAAAACGTCGGCAAAAAGTCAAATTGTAGCTCACACCCAACTTTGGTGTCAAACGATTCAGAATGACTTAAAACACCGAAAAAACAAAATTAAAAAACCGGATTTTCTGGCAAAAACATATACTTTTTCTTCTAGAAATAAGGAATGAAAATGGTATATTAAAATTTGAATTTTTGTATCAAATAGATATATTTTTAATCATTTCTTTTAGCATTTTCCAATCGTTAAGCGATAAATAAAAATGAGACTTCGAAATACTATCTAAATATTATAACAAATTAGAATTCTTGATAATAAAAAATCAGAGTCCTAAATTTTGAAGCAAAATTCGTCATATTGTATGTTTGTAACAAAAAAGTTAAAACTGAAAGAAGTGTATTTTCAATTTATAAATTTAATAAATATTTATTACATGTTCTTATATAGTTAAGATTATAATTATAATATTATCAACATATTGGCTTGTTTAAATTAAATGCATATTGCATTGTTTTCCATTTACTTTCTGGTTAAGTCTTGAACAACTTTAAGAACATCGTATGCATTTAACCATGGCCTGATAACAGCTTTAATTATCACATCAGGATTACGTGTATATGCAAATAAATCAATTACTGTAAAAATTTCACATCCCAATTTTGGACAAGCAATATCACTTTTTCTCAATCTCAGCATCGGACAAAAATCATTACCTCCATCTCCAATGTAAATGACTTTATCAAAAACCAATCCATTTTTCTTGCTTATTTTAATATACTCTGTTAAAATTGAGCCTTTACATAAATTTCTTGGACACAAATTGCATTCGGTTTGACTCTGATAAGGTACAACGTTTAATCTTTCTGATTTATCATAAAAAGCAGGATTTGTAAAGATTTTTTTTACAAATTTATCTAATTTATGAGCGTCTAACCAGTTTTCAATGAATATATGATTCGAGTCGCTTATGATAATAATATCGTATCCTAATTTATCCAAAGTCTTCACCAGCAAAGTAGTGCCTTCAATTTCAGGAATATCAGCAATTGCTCCATAAATTTCAGTCCTGTCAATTTTCTTTTCTTGCAAAATGGCAAAAATTTGGCACATGTAGGAATGCCAATTCTTGTCCTTTAAAAATTGTTCAAGTCTTGATGGTATTTCATCTTTTATGAGACTTATTACTTGTAAATCCGAGTCCATTTTTATTAAAGTTTGATCGAAGTCAAACACAGCTAAATTCCTAGTAATGGTACAAAATTGTATGCGGTTTATTTTAAATTTATATTTGCAGATATTATGAAGCAGATTATAAGGTAAAGTATGTTTTAAAAGTGACAGCATTACATATTTTTGTTTTGGAAAATTATTTATAAATATTTATGGGAATAGAAACAAAATACACTTGATCGGCGTATATAATTTTTGATCCTTAAGTCTGTATTTAGAAACACTATAACGTTATAGTGTATTACGTACGTATTTAAAATAATTCAATACAGTTTATTGTAACTAGTGGGGCACATGGCATCGTGCCTTAAGGCAAATTGCTGGAACTTCCCGTACCGTAATGAAATATTCGAGAAATTTTAAACGTTTTCAAATATATTATTACAAATACTGTAACTTTCGTTATTTTTGCTATTTGTTATATCTGAGCAAATCAAATATAAATCATAAATCAATTTATCTCCAAAACAATAACAATCGTCATTTTATTTCGAATTCAATTTCAAAACAAAAAGTTGCCTAATTTGCATAAAATTGAAAAATCGCTCCCGTATGGTCACAGTCTAAACGCATTTGCAAATAATTCTGTGCGACATTTTCACTTATACTGTGCTTAGCTTGGCGGCATTTTCACATTTTTCAATAGTTTTCACAAAATTTGAAAAGTGCTCCAATACATAGACAGTCTAAACGCACTTGGGTAAGCATTTGTACCAGAGTGGCGCTTAGACTGTGCTTAGCCTGGGCGATTTTTTGAATTTCTAATCCAAAATTACAAAAATATTTTTTGAAAAAAAAAATTAGAAACTATTTTTTTTTACAAAAGCAATTATTTTGTTGAACAAGTATAAAGTTCTTTGAATCATTTAAATCGGACGCTTAGTTCTCTCAAAAACTGCCATTTTTTTAACATTTAGCTCTGTATCTCCAAAACCGCTGGGCCTACCTTTGCCAAAAACTAGTAACCACTTTTCCCCGTCATTACGAACTGAATGTTTTTTGGATCATACAAATCGGATAATCCGTTCTCTCAAAAACTCGATTTCTATTTTCTCGATATACAAAAAAAAATTTTTGAGAAAAAAAAATGTTTTGACAAAAAAAAATTTGAAAAAAAAATTTTGGAACAAATTTTATTTTTTACTAAAAGCATTTATTTTGTAAGCAGAAACTTTTTTGAATTATTCAAATCGGATGCTTAGTTCTCTCGAAAACTGCAATTTTTTGCACATTTAGCTCGGTATCTCCAAACGACTGGACCTGCCTTTGGCAAAAACTAATCACCTCTTCTCCCAATCATTACAAATTGAATGTTTTTTGAATCAATCAAATCGGATAATCCGTTCTCTCAAAAACTCGATTTCTATTTTCTTGATATACAAAAAAAAATTTTCTCCGAAACGACTGGACCTGCCTTTGCCAAAAACTAATCACTTCTTCCAATCATTACAAATTAATTGAATATTGAGATAACATAAATTTATGCATTCTCATTTTCGATTTTCGGCCCTTTACTATATCACTCATTGATTCCAAAAGTGGTCCACATGAACCCAAGTCAGCGAAAAGAAATAGTGAATCGCAACACAAAACACATTAATATCTATTTTTTATTATTATTTTAAAGTCAAAAAGTCAAATAATGTTTGATCTTGAATATGTATATTATTCATATTGAATGTTCAATACCAAATGTTAGTAAAAATAAAAATTTCTAAAAAAAAAACGATATCGGCTAAATAGCTATTTAGCCATAATAACTATTTAGGCGATCCATGGTAAAGTCTAAGGGTCCACGATATAAACAAGTTATAATATAACTTACCATATGAAAAGTTAATAATTCAATGCACTTCTTAAGAAATGTCTAAACTGAAATCTCTGATTTTTTATACATTAAACAAATCATTTCCTTATCTATGAAATAAATAATATATATTTAATTTGTATATGCAATTTTACATTATCTTGTATAGTACACAATTAATTGTTTAACTTTATATTAGTAACCTCTCATTTAAAATCCAAATTCTTGATATTTCCAGATGAATTTATTACCTCTAATTCTCTAACAGTTTTTAATATATCACAACCATCCGTCCACGGTTTCAAGACAGCCTTCACAGTCAATTCAGGGTCATCTTTATTCTTCTCGATCCTATTCATGATCTTAAATCCCAAACGAGGGAAAGCAACATCGGCTGCTCTTAATTTAATCATAGGACAAAAATCATTACTGCCGTCTCCAGCATATATGACTCTAACATATTCAGTACCAAGTTTCTCAGCGCTTTCAATATATTTCTTCATAACAGCACCTTTACATAAATTTCTAGAACACAATTTACATTCAAATTGGTACTGATAAGGCTCAATAAGTAAAAGACCATTGTCATCATAATGAGCAGGATTTGTGAAGACTTCTTTAACGCAACCGGTTAAAGCATGGGCTTCTAACCAATCTTTTATAAATATGGAATTAGAATCGCTTATTATTATTATATCATAATTTAAATCGTTATGCAAAGCTCTAAATAATTTACACATGCCTTTGGTTTCAGGAATTTCGATGATAGTTTTGTGTATAGATGTTTTATCAATTTTATCTTTATATAGTAACTTAAAAGCCTCGCCCATGAATATTGTCCAGCAATTAGTTTCACGTATTTCTTCAATTTCTTCAGGAATGTCTGTTGTTAATAATTCAAGGACTTCTGTGTCTGTATTTTTTGAGACAACAGTATAATCGAAATCGAATATTGCTAAATTTTTGGTAACCATTTTTGATCTTATTATATTGTCTAGGATTTTTGGTGCTGATGTTTTCCCTGAGACGACTTTTTTCGAACTGTCATAAAATGTACAACCGGTAGAAGAAATAGTTAAATATCTTTTTGAGGGTCGTTTTAATCGATGGAGTACAAAATAATAAAGATTCGTAGACAATTTCATTGTCTATAATAAATTCATTAGATTATTTGTCTAAATTTTGTATAAAACTACTTTTGGTTTTTAATTTTGAATTTGGTTGACATGACGCTAGTGTTTCTTAAACTGTAACAAAATGGCAACGAACTTTTGTAATTTTAAAGTTGTATACAAACAATAATTTTGATTTAATTTTTAATTATTACGTTAACCAGATGAAAGTACCGTTTTGCCTTAAGGCAAGTTGCATAAACTTCCTGATTTCGGGAAAAGGAAATTAACTTTAACTAAAATTAATTTTCAAACAGTTTGAAAACCATTCCGCTCAGTGCTGCCACCACTCGCGGCAGATCAATCAACTTTGATGGAAAATCAATGTTCGACATTTTGTTTTCCAAAAAACATTATTTTGTTTTAAGTCAAAAATATATATCCAACAGTATCAAAACAAAAACAATTATTTTCCATTACAATCGTGGTTTGTCATAAATTCTTACTATGGGTGATAGAAGATCGAAATTTGATAATCCGGAGCCTCAGTATTCAAGACTCTTTATAGTCTGTAGTAGAGATTCTACAGCTGACGACTTTTATAATAGTTTCGATAAATTTGGGACTATTGAAGATGTTCGGTTGGTTCGAGACAGGAATACTGGCGAAAATAAAGGTATATAAATAATTATTTCAATGTATTTTACCGTTTTAAAAATAATTTTATATTTGCTGATTAGGTATTGCCTATGTAAAATTCTCAAAGACTTCAGAAGCTGCAAAGGCTTTGAAAGAGATGAACGGTAGATGCGTTGGGAATTCTTCACGACCACTTAAAGTATTAGTAGCTAACAGGTATTAATCTCTAATAAAAATGATCAATCTTCATAATTTTCTATGTCTTTTATTTCTATTATCCTAGTCGCGATGAAGGTTCAACAAGAGACTCCAATGAAGGTGAAAAGTACATTCGTCTCTTCATAGCAATTCCAAGGTCCATGAACGAGGATGATTTGCAAAATAAATTCAAAGAATATGGAACAATAGTTAAAATCAACTTATTACGAGACAGAGATACGCAACAAAGCAAAGGTTTTGCCTATATAACCTTTTCCAGTTTTATTGAAGCAGCCACTGCTTATGAAAATTGTGATAGATCCTATAAAGCTGTTTTTGCTGAACCCAAGCCTAGCGCAAAACGTGAAAGGAGTTATGATCGAGGATATGATAGGAGCTATGATAGAAGGTTAGATAATAGATAGTTGTTTGTGTTGATATATTAATTGATGATTGTGTTTTTGTTTTTTAGGGATGCTCATGATTATCATCCAGTAAGCAAAGGTTCTCGTAATGAACCTCCTGGTCAACTTTTGGTAACCGCTAGTCCTTGTTCTAATCAGGATCAACTTTGGAGACTTTTTGATTTAATACCAGGTACGTATATAAACAGTATAGATAAAAAATTACATTATTATTGAAGTGAAACTTCTAATTCCACTTGCAACAAAGAAATTTTGGACATAATACAATTTTTATTATCATAGAAGAGCAACTTCTAATGCCATTCTCAACAATGAAATAAATGTTATAAAAAAGACAAAGACAGAAAATGTAGTAGATTGTCTGAGAACATTGTAGATTGTTTGAGAATGTTCTAAAATGTCTAAGAACGTTTTAAATTGTCTGAAAATATTCTAGATTGTCTGAGAATGTTCTAAATTGTCAGAGAACGTTCAAGGTTGTCTGAGAATGTTGTATATTGTCTGCGAACATTGTAAATCTAACTGAAACCACTATATATGCAGTTTTTGCAAGAAATACTAAAAAAATAGATGTCAAAAATTCAATAACTTATTTTAGATATCACAAAACTATTGAAAATATAAATTTGGATATTTTTTCACTTGAAGATAATAATTGAAAGATGCAATCCTAATAAAGTTTGACTTAAATAAACAATATGGTTATCTAATAAGAAGTTTTGCTATTATTTTTTCATATTTAATTTCCATTGAATAATATTTCAGGTCTCGACTACTGTCAGCCCATAAGCAACAACAATGTTTATTCCGTTGTATATAATTCAGTGGCTTCTGCACAAACAGCTCGAGATAAACTACATGGATTTGAATATCCACCTGGTTACAGACTAATCGTCCGATTTGATGTAGAGTAAGTAATATAATATATGTATTAACAATAATGTTAATTTATAATACCAATGTTTCAATCTATTTTTTTTTTATCAGTAATGGAATGGAGCATTCAAGATACAATCCTGGAATCCGTTCAATGATGAAACGAGACAATGACCGACCAGATCTTGCACAACTTGCTGAAACAATAGCACAAGCTACTAGTCTCATTCAAGCGGCAGGATTAAATGGTATATCATTCAAAAGACGATAATCTGTACTTATAAATCATATTAGAATGTCAGTGTAAGATGTTGAAAGAGCTGTTTTTTTTTTTTTAAATACATACTTTAAAATTTGTTGTCTCTGTTTGGGTCTAAAACTTGTTTCCTATTTGTTTGGACCAATCTCTGAAATGGCTGGACTGATTTTGAAGAGATTTTGTTGGCAGGTTGTTTTTGTAATCAGACGTAACTTAGGATTCTTCTATAATCTCTTTCAATTTTTATAAAGTTTATTGAAGCAGAGATAGAATGAAGGAAATTATCTCTTATTTTTAAGAATTAAATAAATTAATAAATTATAAATTCAAATTATTTTCAATATTCAAAAAATAAAAATTTGGTATTATTTTTTTTTAACTTCCCATTAGGGTAAGTTATAGTGATCGCAAAAAATCGAAAATAAACATTTTTATGTATTCTTTTTATGTATTTCATTATTATTTTTATGTATGTTTTTTTTATATATTCATGTTTCAGAGTTTTCTGAACATTTTTGCATACCTCAGAAAAAATGGATGTGTGTGGGTGTATATGCGGATACAAATTTTCTTCGACGATTTCGCGAACACGGATCAACCGATTTGAATAATTCAAAAAACATTCGATTCCTGTTGATGAGAAGACGCGCTTCGAGGCAAAAAGTGCCAAGAATGGTAACTCAATTGTTGAGAGAACGGAGCGTCCGATTTGAATGATTCAAATAACATTTTATTTGTATTGACGAAATGAACAACTTGTAAAAGTTTTGTAAAGGCAAGTCCAGCGTCTTTGGAGATCCAATAAAAAAAAGTAAACAATAATGCCATTTGACGGTCAAAAATTTTGACAAAAGTTTACTTTGAAGAAACATTTATTTTGAAATATTCAGCTTTAACTACATAGAGACGAAATATCGAAGCGCGTAAGCGCCGCGTCGCCGTCTAACGGATAAACATTGGTACGGAACCCATAGGAATGTCAACAAAATTTATACTTATTGTTAAAATCTCTAAAAAATATCTGATAATTATTGATGTGCATATGTCTAATGATCATTTTTGACCGCCAAATGGCTCATTTTTTTACTTTTTCCTCCATATCTCCGAAGTCGTTGCACCTGCCTTTACAAAAAAATTAAACAGTTTTTCATTTAGTCAATACAAATAAAATGTTTTTTTGAATTATTCAAATCGGACGCTCCGTTCTCTTAAAAACTGAGTTACCGTTTTTGGCACTTTTTGCCCCATATCTTCGGAACGGCTAGACCTGCCTTCGCCAAAAACTAATCAGCACGTCTCCTTATCAATACGAATCAAATGTTTTTTGAATTATCCAAATCGCTTCATTCGTGTTCCCGAAATCGTCGACGAAAATTTGTATCCGCACACACACACACACACATACATACATACATCCATTTTTTGTAAAGTATGCCAAAATGTTCAGAAGGTTTTGAAACGTAAAGATATATAAAAAAAATTATTTTCGATTTTTTTTGCGATTACTATGGGAAGTTAAAAATGGCTTTTCCAAAAATTATTCGTTTCTTCATACTGTCAACACTAGTAAAATGTTTTTTGAATCATTCGAATCGGTTGATTCGTTAAGTGAATGACAATTTTAGCATTTTCCGCTCCATATCTTCAAACTGTTTTATTATAAACCATTGATTGATCCATGCGCCCGAAATTGTGGACGAAAAATTGTGGATATAATTTTTCATACACTCATCCAATTTTTCTAAAGTATGCCAAAATGTTCAGAAACCTCTGAAACGTGAAATATGCAAAAAAAAATCATTTTCGGAGGGTAATAAGGTTAATACAAAAAACTGAAAATATTTGGTTAAATTAAAATAAAAAAGCAAAAGCTTTGAAACCTGAACGAATTTCCAGGTACATCTAGTACAATATAAAATACATATAAGACAAAAACATAAGTCTATTTATTTCTCTTCCAGTAAATCCTGCTACTTTATTAGCAAAGTGCACAGAAGACAACATAATTGACTCGCAGTGCAGTGTAAAATTACCCAACCCACAACCCTTAGTCTCAATCGACACTCCCCACGTCAAAAGATGCTTCATCGTTTGCAGTCCAAGCCCACCACCCATATTTATGCTGAGAGATGTGTTCAGCAGATTCGGCAACCTGATTGATGTATACTTACTCCAACGAAAGAATGTTGGATATGCTAAATATGCCACTGAAGAAAGTGCAGATGAAGCTATTCGAGTAAGTAGTAACTGACGATCAGTTCCACATGATAAACATGATAACTATCAATTATCTCTTTAGGTTTTGCATGGATGCGAGATTGCAGGTGTTCGTATTAAAGTCTTGGAGGCTGATGAAAGGAAAGACCGTTTCGGGGATAGATCAAGACGTCGCAGTATATCACCCAATAGAGGTAAGAGTGTACAACTACAACTTTAGTAGTCTGAGTTTTGGTAAGTTGCTTTGTTTTCTTTTTTTTGTGGAAATTTTACTTGGATTAACCGATGACTTTGAAGGTAGTTTGACTCAATGCCTTTTTTTCATAGAAAATTTAAAATTTGATTTTTGGTGCTAGAGAAGATTTAAACAAAATTTAGTGTGGAACCCCTACTTGTGTATGAAGTGAAATTTCGTAATGTGTAAATGGAAATAAAAATTGATTTTTTAGTTAACTGTATTGTTTCTTTGAGATAAACTTTATTAATGGAAAAATATTATATAAATTAAGATACAATATGTTTGAGTTCTATTTTTTCAATATTCCTTGCAATAACTGCATCAATGGTGGTTTTTGTTAGATGTTACACCATTTTCAGACGTTAAGACTTTTTCAGACAATGAACAACGTTTTCAGACAATTTGCAACATTTCCAGAGAGAGAGTCTACATTGTTTTCAGACAGTCCACACTATTTCAGACGATAAACAACATTTTCAGACAATTGACAATGATTTCAGACAATTTATAACATTTTCAGAAAATTTACAATGTTTTCAGACAGTCTACAACATTTTCAGACGTTTTACAATATTTTTAGACAGTCTACAGCATTTTCGGACGTTTTACAATATTTACAGGCAATTTACAAAATTTTCAGACAACTTGCAATATTTTCAGACTATTTCAACCATTTCAGACAATTGACAACATTTTCAGATAATCTACAAAGATTATCAGACAATCCAAACATTTTCTAACTCTAACACATTTTCAGGCAATTTAAAACGTTTTCAGACTATTTCAACCATTTCAGACAATTGACAACATTTTCAGACAATCCAAACAATTTCAAACTATATATAAACATATTTTTAACATTTCAGACAATTTAGAAATTTCAGGCTATTTATAACATTGTTTTCAGACTATTTATAACATTCTCAGATCGTTTATAACTATTTCAGACGATCTATATCATTTTTTCAGATAATTTACAACATTTCAGACTATATACAACAATTTTCTACAATTTTAAATTGTCTAAAACAATTGCAGACAATTTATAACATTTTCAGAGTCTCCAAAACAATTTCGGACTCTCTCAAAACATTTTCAGACTCTCCAAAACAATTTCGGACTATCCCAAAACATTTTCGAATTCTCCCAAAACAATTTCAGACTCTCCAAAACAATTTCGGACTCTCCAAAACAATTTCGGACTCTCCAAAACAATTTCGGACTCTTCCAAAACAATTTCAGACTCTCCAAAACATTTTCAGACTCTCCAAAACATTTTCATGCTCTCTAAAACATTTCAGACTCTCCAAAACATTTTCAGACTCTCCAAAACATTTTCAGACTCTCCAAAACATTTTCAGACTCTCCAAAACATTTTCAGACTCTCCAAAACAATTTCAGACTCTCCAAAACATTTTCAGAATCAGCAAAACAATTTCAGACTCTCCAGAACATTTTCACAATCACCAAAACGTTTTCAGACTCTCCCAAAACATTTTCAGACTCTCCAAAACATTTTAAGACTCTGCCAAAACAATTCCAGACTCTGCCAAAACAATTTCAGACTCTCCAAAACAATTTCAGACTCTCCAAAACAATTTCAGACTCTCCAAAACATTTTCAGAATCAGCAAAACAATTTCAGACTCTCCAGAATATTTTCAGAATCACCAAAACATTTTCAGACTCTCCACAACATTTTCAGACTCTCCCAAAACAATTTCAGACTCTCCAAAACAATTCCAGACTCTCCCAAAACATTTTCAGACTCTCCCAAAACATTTTCAGACTCTCCCAAAACATTTTCAGACTCTCTAAAACAATTTCAGACTCTCCAAAACAATTCCAGACTCTCCAAAACATTTTCAGGCTCTCCAAAATATTTTAAGACTCTCTAACATAATTTCAGACTCTCTTAAAACTCATTTTAGTATTCTTTAAAGAAAAAATTAGACCCTATACAAGATTTTCAGACTCTTCAAAACAATTTCAGGCTCTCTAAAACATTTTCAGAATCACCAAAACAATTTCCAAACTCTCCAAAACAATTTCAGAATCACCAAAACAATTTCCAGACCTCCAAAACAATTTCAGACTCTCCAAAACATTTTCAGACTCTCTTAAAACGCATTTTAAAATTCTTTAAAAAAAATTAGTCCCTCTACAAGATTTTCAGACTCTGCAAAACATTTTCAGACGACTCTCTAAAACATTTTCAGACTCTTCCAAAATGCATTTTCAGACTCTCTAAAAACTCATTTTAAAATTCTTTAAAAAAATTAGACCCTCTGAAAATGTTTTAGAGAGTCTGAAAATCTCGTAGAGGGTCTAATTTTTTTTAAAGAATTTTAAAATGCGTTTTTGAAGAGTCTGAAATTGTTTTGGAGAGTCTGAAAATGTTTTGGAGAGTCTGAAAATTTTGTATAGGGTCTAATTTTTATAAAAAAAAAATTTAAAATGCGTTTTAAGAGAGTCTGAAATTGTTTTGGAGAGTCTGAAATTGTTTTGGAGAGTCTGAAAATGTTTTGGAGAGTCCTGAAAATATGTTAGAGAGTCTGAAAATGTTTTGGAGAGTCTTGAAAATATTTTGGAGAGTCTGAAAATGTTATGGAGAGTCTGAAAATTTGTAGAGGGTCTAATTTAAAAAAAAAATTAAAATGCGTTTTAAGAGATTCTGAAATTGTTTAGGGAGAGTCTGAAATTGTTTTGGACAGTCTGGAAATTGTTTTGAAGAGTCTGAAAATGTTTTAGAGAGTCTGAAAATGTTTTAGAGAGTCTGAAAATGTTTTAGAGAGTCTGAAAATGTTTTAGTGAGTCTGAAAATCTTGTAGACTCTTCAAAACAATTGCAGACTCTCTTGAAACGCATTTCAAATTAAAAAAAAAATAGACTACAAAATTTTCAGACTCTCTGCCACTTTTTCAGACTGTCTAAACCAACTCCAGGCTCTCTAAAACATTTTCAAACAATTCTTGCATCGTCTTTCTATTTCTACTTGATAAAAGTCACATTACAAGTTTCACTTCAACAAATTGAACTACAATATAATATTTTATCCTCTCGTACGGATTTTAGGTAGTGGAATTAAAATCTTTTGGTGTAGCAGGGTTTTATAGTAATAACTTTCTGTAAATATTTCTCTGTTGCATGTTAAATTTTAATTAATCAAATATTCTCTCCACAGACGACTAAGATGGTTTTAAAAACATGACTACAATGATGACTGAACAACTTGCATTACAATGAAAACATGAACTCGTCAACAACTAAATACACACACGAAAAGGACACAAGGAATGGACATATGAAATATGAAAAACTACGAATGTCGGAGGATGACTACTTTCTTTAACAAAGACTACTTGACAGAATATAATAATGATTCGTTTTTTAAAAAATAACACATGCTTCTTGTAATGACAGTGCGACACTTTACTAAGCATGCTTTTATAATATAACATATATATAAATTGTGTTAATAGATGTATTTTCAGGACTGGTGAACCAGCATTTAGTTTATGTATCACATATATGTATGAATAAAAGAAATTTTAATTCATGATTTAGTTTCATTTGAAGAAGTTATATTTTACCTTAAGGCAAGTTGCATGAATTTCTTGAAATGTTTTATAATTGACTTAATCAAACAAAATTGAGATTTAGGTATTTAGATAAATTTTCAACTGCTTATTCATTTAAACATTGTAATTTTCAATTGAATTTTTTCAAACACATGTGAATTATTTGTAATTATATTAATTATATTGCACAGACATGTGCCTAAAATTGTGAATTATCATTCCAATTTTTAATCAGCCAATTTTCGAATAATATTTTTTTAAAGAAACTTAAGAAAACTTTAATGTGAAATATTAAACATATTTTAAAATAAAATATAAGCATTAATCATTTAAATTAATGGTAACATTGTTTACACAACTAGAGAACTTTTGTTCACTGCTCACTTATATTTTTTCAAAATTTGATGATTTTTTAAATTAAGTATGTTCTTTATCATTTTATTAGTAAATTTCCGAATCAAAAATTAAAGTTTTCGCATATCTTCACGTTTCAGAGGTTTCTGAACATTTTGGCATGGATTTATGTGTGTGTGCGTTTTGTGTGTCCGCATTTTTTCGTCTACGTTTTCGGGCCTATGGATGAACCGATTTGAATGATTCAAAAAACATTCGATTCCTATTGATAGGGAGATGTGCTGATTAATTTTTGGCAAAGGCAGGTCCAGCCGTTACGGAGATACGGAGCGAAGAGTGCAGAAAATACAAATCGAGTTTTTGAGAGAACGGAGTATCCGATTTGAATGATCTAAAAAACATTCAATGTGTAATGATTGGGAGAAGCGGTTATTGGTTTTTGGCAAAGGTAGGTCCAGCCGTTTTGGAGATACCGAGCTAAATGTGCAAAAAATTGCAGTTTGTGAGGAAATTTAGTATCTGATTTGAATGATTCAAAGAACTTTCTGCTTGTTTTGAGAAAATAATTGCTTCTGGATTTTTTTTTGTATATTGATAATATTCCAGATTTTAATTTCAAATCTGGCTAAAGTTCTGAAGCTCGCTTATGTACTTGAAATAAATGATTTCAACTTTGTAATTCAGTTTATATAATTCTTATAAATATTAGACAATGTTACAGTATTTATATTAATTTATTTGAAAGAATTTAATATTCCTCGAACATTTTGTTACACCACTAGCTTTATCATTTAAATTAATAGCAACATTTTTTACACAACTAGAGAAGTTTTGTAGACTGCTCATTTACTGATATTTTTTCAAAATTAGATGAATTTTCAAAATTAAACGTCGTAGGGCCGTGTGTTTTTAGTATGTTCTATAAGACCATGATATCTATTGTCAAAAAAGTTTTTGAATTTTTAAAATCGTTTCAAAATTGAACACGCTGACAAACGCTGTATAGACCTCCAAAATAAAATAATATGTATATTAATATTAAGTGTATATTAATATATCTATAATAATTTATATAACTATTCATCCCAATGTTCATATTGAAAAGAACGTCTAAATCCGAATAATTATCTATTGCCGTTTAAATCACCCGCCTCTCTCACCGACTTGAACTTGCAACGATCTTTCATCCTTGTACAATTTACCTTTGGAGCTTGCTCGTTGGTCACACTGGCGGCGATTATTACATTTGTTTCTGAGTGATTTGGTTTGTCATTGTAGTACATAAAAAATATTATTTAAATATAGCAAAAATGACGACAGACACCGCGTAAGTACTCCACGATATTTATATAATGTTAATCATTCACAATCACTTGTTATTTTCACGTAAATCACAATGTTAAAGTGCATGCGGGTCGGTTAGCGTGTTTTATTCGGCCATCTTTACTGCTATTGATCACCGAAAATTCTAGAATTTAATAGTAAATCATACTTATAAACGTGTTATTAACTTAGCACATTATCCTTTACCCCGTTAACCGATTTAAGTAACCCGCGTGCCAGAACTGTTCGAGATGTTGTTGATAAAATCCAATTGTTTCCCTCAGGCTTCCACCCCCTTCAGTAATGTGGGCCCAAAGGCCGAGTGTTATATTACTTACAGTTAATTTAGAAGACTGTAGTGAACCCGAAATCAAGTAAGTAATAAAAATATATACATATACGTTCTTGTGCAAAATCCTATATCATAACCCTAAAATTTTTGATGTCGTGTTTTTGCAGATTCACACCCACTACATTTTATTTCAAAGGCACAGGTGGTGTTGATAAAAAGACGTACGAGGTCAATATTGAATTATATAAAGCTATTGACCCTGAAAATAGTCGGTTTTGCAATCGGGGGAGGTGCATAGAAGTAGTTCTCACTAAAGTAAGTAATCGAAATATGTAACTCGATATGTAGATACAGAAAACCAAGATTTTTGTATATGCGAATCATTGTAAGTCATTTTTTACTGTCGAATAAATGATTGAGACAGAAAGTAAAAATACACAAATGCATAGTTAATACAAAAGCTTGTATTTGAATGTTGATTTTTGATTAATGCAACATTTGTTGAGTAAAATTTATTGAAGACTATTTAATTAGTGAAAGATGCGAAAATTAATCAGAAATAGTCATCAACTTTACTAATTTCAGCATTTTGTAAAAAAAAAATGAACTACATCTATTGTTTTTCTCATTTAATTCAATGTGTTGTTTGTAAATACTGACAATTTATTTTAGTTAAAAGAAAAAAGGGTATGCCATAATTTTTTTTTCAATTGTTTCGTGTCTCACAAATCACAATTTTTTTTAAAAAAATACAACTTGATTAACAATCTGTATTAAAAAATAATATATGATTTTTTGAATTAAAAAGAGTTTAACAAAGACTCGTAATGTATGGGTGACTTGTTCAAGGTTGTCTAAAAATAACTAAGTATTTTCTAATAATATGCTAAAACAAGTGCATGGTATTGTGCCTTAAGGCAAATTGCTGGAACTTCCAATACCGTAATTAAAAATCTTGGTATGAAACCCAAAGAAATTTACACAAAATGTGTACACATTATAAAAATCTCTATATAGTTCTGATAATTTGATGTGCATAAGTCCAATAAACATTTTTGGCCACAAAATGACATTTTTTAAATAAATATCAATCTATAATTCCAATTTTACTAAACTGTGTCCTTTATTCTAGACAACGGAAGAAGGTGGCTACTGGCCGACCCTCACGGCAGACAAAAAGAAGCACCACTGGTTAAAAGTAGACTTCAACAAATGGCAAGACGAAGACGACAGTGGAGATGAAGGCTTGGGAGGTTTCGGAGGCGGAATGGGAGGCGGTGGCGACCTCGAAGATATGATGCGCCAAATGGGAGGCCTCGGAGGCATGGGTGGAGATAAACCGTCTTTCGATGATTTAGATGGAGACGATGAAGACTCAGATGACGGAGAAATGCCTGATTTAGCATAAGTTTGTAAGCATCGAAGTCTCGAAAAAACACCATCATTATTACATACCATATAATAAAAAAGAATTGAAAATTTATATACAAAAAAAGATACCAAATAAATTCACTGCTATTGCAGTAAAATAACCATTTAACAATTGTATTTTTTAATGTGAAGGACTTAAGTTGGAATTCGTACCGTTTGTTATATATTGGCATACAAATGCATTAAGATTAGGCTCTGAGACAGTGATTGAATGTTATTTTTGTTATTTTAAGGAAATTTAATAAAATAATTAAATTGACACATAGTTTTTAATTTTGAGTAGATGCAACAGTTTTATATCAAATAAAACTACTACTTGAAGAACAGTATTAATAAAAATTATTACTGTAACTATAAAAGACTTGAATTGATTAAAATATATATTATTATGCATTTGTGTGCGGTTGATTCAAATTAAAAATGTGGCACTATTGACTAATATCTTTCTAAATGTCTATTTATATTTAGCAATTACAAAAATAAAGTTGCTTTCGTTAAATTAAAATATACTTGCATAATGAAAGTCTGATGAAATTGGCAAAAGTGTATTCGGATCGAATTATATTTATGTAAAGGTTTCACATGGTGTAGTTAACATTACACTTGTTTTAATTTAATTGACTAATTTTTTTATAAATAAAATTTTATAACAATATTATTTGTTTATATAACAGACAGCAGATTATTTTTTACAGATTTTAAATTTTATTTTTGACAATATTTAATAACAATTGAAAGTCCCGAAAAAGAAAATGTGTGAAAGAATGATTTAAGAAAAAATGAGTGGATAATAATACTAATAATTAGGTCTAAGTGCAAAGTTACAAAATATATATTCGATATGTGAAAATCAAAGAAGTGAATTGAATAATAATTAAACTAGTGGTGTATGGCATCGTGCCTTAAGGCAAATTGCTGGTACATCCTGCAATGTGATTTAAAATTATCAAAAGCTCAGAAAAGAAAAATTATTTTTCTGTGAAATTTTGTTTTTTTTTTGAAAAATTTGAACATTGAAAAAACATGTTTGAAAACACTATTTTTTCAAAACTTAGAAATTTTTCAAAAGCTTGGAAATTTCTTGTAAGTTTTTATACCCATTCTCATCGATTGATTCAAATTACAAAACATCTAATTTTCGACCGTCAAATGGCATTTTTTAAAACTTTTCTGAACCTACCTTTGTTTTTTAAATCATTCAAATCGAACAGAAACAGCTGGACCTGCCTTTGCCAAAAACTAATCAGCACATCTCCCCATCAAAAGGAATCGAATGTTTTTTGAACTATTCAAATCGGAAATATTGTATCCATATATATACACATCCATTTTTTCATAGGTATGCTAAAATGTTCAGAAACCTCTAAAACGTGAAGAAATGTAAAAATTTTACAGATTTTACAGTTTTACAGATTTAGGAATGGATACTGTTGGACAACAATTGAAAGTGTTAAAAATTAAGGTTCAAAAACAAAAATGTGTAAAAGAATGATTTAAGAAAAATTTAATAGATAATAATACTAATAACAATTAGTTGTAAGTGCAAAGTTACAAAATATATCCGATATGTGAAAATTAAAGAATTGCATTGAATAATAATTAAACTAGTGATGTATGGCATCGTGCTTTAAGGCAAATTGCTGGTACATCCTGCAATGTGATTTAAAATTATCAAAAGCTTGAAAATTTGTTGAAAACTAATTTTTTTTTAAATTTTGAAATATTTGAAATTTCTTGAAAGTTTTTATACCCATTCTCATCGGTTGATTCAAATTACAAAACATCTAATTTTCGACCGTCAAATGGCATTTTTTTAAACTTTTCTGAACCTGCCTTTGTTTTTTAAATCATTAAAATCGAACAGAAACAGCTGGACCTGCCTTTGCCAAAAACTAATCAGCACATCTCCCCATCAAAAGGAATCGAATGTTTTTTGAACTATTCAAATCGGAAATATTGTATCCATATATATACACATCAATTTTTTCATAGGTATGCTAAAATGTTCAGAAACCTCTAAAACGTGAAGAAATGTAAAAATTTTTAATTTCGATTTTTGGACGATTACAATAATAACTTACCCTACGGGAAGTTAATAATAAAATCTGTTAATATTAATAATAATAACAATAAAATAATTAGTTAAAAATTAATGTTGGATAGATCAAAATAATGAAAAAATTAAAAACAAAGTTTCATGTTTAATATTAAACTATAGTAATCGCAAAAAAATCGAAAATAAAATTTTTTATATGTCTTTACGTTTCAGAGGTTTCTGAACATTTTGGCATACCTTAGAAAAAATGGATGTATGTGTGTGTGTGTGTATGTATGTGCGGATACAAATTTTCGTCGACGATTTCGGAAACACGGATCAACCGATTTGAATAATTTAAAAAACATTCGATTCGTATTGATAAGGAGACGTGCTGATTAGTTTTTGGCGAAGGCAGGTCTAGCCGTTCCGAAGATATGAGGCAAAAAGTGCCAAAAACGGTATCACAGTTTTTAAGAGAACGGAGCGTCCGATTTGAATAATTCAAAAAAACATTTTACTTGTATTGATGAATAATCGATAGAATTTTCATGAAGGCAGGTCTAGCGGTTTCGGAGATCTAGTGAAAAAAGTAAAAAAAAATGCCATCTGGCGGTCAAAAATGATCATTAGACATATGCACATCAAATGATCAGTTATTTTATAGAGATTTTAACAACAAGTATAAATTTTGTTTACATTTCTATGGGTTCTGTATCAATTTTATCAAGACTTGGAAAAATGATAAACTAGGCAGTTGGATTAAAAAAAAATTATCTTTATATTTTCCACCAGCTCTCCCACTATCGCCAGTAATGAAACGGGAACTCTAATAATGTTCGTGAATAACAGTACGGGAATGAGCATTGAATTGCTGGTATTGTATTAGGTATTTTGCAAATTCGAAAAATCGCATTCTAATATTATTAGTAAACAGGAATTGATTGATCGAAACAACGAAGAAAGAACAAAGTACAGGAATTGTTTTGCACGTCGAAACAATTCGCAATTCTCTCATAATCGAAATAACATTGTTGTAATGGACAGACAATCGACTCAGATTTTATTTACATTGTGTCATCGGAATATTAGTAAAAGATACATGAAATAAATAATATATTGATTTATAAACAAATCCAAAACTTGGTTGTTAAAATGATAATAAAATTTGGCCCAATTGCCTTTCATAATTAATAAACTATAATAATAAATTTATTATTATTATATTATTTTGGAACTAGTGGGGCGCATGGCATAGTGCCCTAATTGCTGGAACTTTCCGTACCAAAAATTATTTTGTTTTTAAAAGGTTAAACATTTTTGAAAAAAATTTAATCTGAAAAATTAGATTTTTGAGAAACTATAAATTTTTGACAAAAATTTACTTTTATTTGAAAAAAAGACTTTTCGAAGACAAGTGTATTTTGAAATATTTTGGAAATTCTGAACTTTTTTTCAAAGCAATCGTACTGCTTTAACTGCATAGAGACGAAATATCGAAGCGCGTAAGCGCCGCGCCGCCGTCTAACGGATAAACATTGGTGCGGAACCCATGGGAATGTAAACAAAATTTATACTTATTGTTAAAATATCTGATAATTTGATGTGCCTATGTCTAATGTTCATTTTTGACCGTCTGATGGCATTTTTTTTTACTTTTTTCACTAGATCTCCGAAACTGCTAGACCTGCCTTCATGAAAATTTTATCAGTTGTTCATCTTGTTAATACAAATAAAATGTTTTTTGAATTATTTAAAACGGACGCTCCGTTCTCTTAAAAACTGAGTTAACGTTTGTGACACTTTTTGTCCCATATCTTCGGAACGGCTAGACCTGCCTTTGTCAAAAACTAATCAGCACGTCTCCTTATCAATACGAATCGAATGTTTTTTGAATTATTCAAATCGCTTCATCCGTGTTCCCGAAATCGTCGACGAAAATTTGTATCACACACATACACACATACACACACGCACACACACACACACATACATCCATTTTTTCTATGGTATGCCAAAATATTCAGAAACCTCTGAAACGTAAAGCTATATAAAAAATTTCATTTTCGATTTTTTTTGCGATTACTATAACTTACCCTACGGGAAGTTAAAAAATCAGAATTTCCAAAATATTTAAAAATGAAGAAACATTTTTTTCAAAGTCTTTTTTGTCTAAAAAAGTCAATTTTTGTCAAAAATTCAAAATCTTTCAAAAATCTATTTTTTCAATGTTTTTTCTTTAAATTTAATCTTTCTTAAAAAAAGAATTTTTGATACGGGAAGTTCCTGCAATTTGCCTTAAAGCACGATGCAATGCCCCATTAGTTAGTTTTTGGCAAAGGCAAGTTCAACCGTTTTAGAGATACGGAACAAAAAGTGCTAAAAATGACAATTTTTGGAAGAACGGAATTTTGAAAATGCAGAAAAAATGCTAAAAATGTTATTTCTTGGTCTTTTCTTGGTTAAATTAGTTAAAATTAGTTAAATTAGGTAAAAAAAATAGGGAAAAAAGTGTAGACAGACTATTGGTAGATTAATAAATTTATAGACTATTAGGCAGGTAAACAGATGAATAAGTAGACAGGCAAACTAGGTAAACAGGTAGTAAAAAAAAATATAGAGAGATAGAAAGGTGTACAGGTAGACAAATAGGTCATATATAATTTAAAAAAAATATTGATTAAATTATTTACTTTGTCTTCATACCAAAATCCGAATAATCGTTTAGAAGAAGTATCCTTTCATACATCATAACAGAAGTATTTTATATATAATTTTTTTGTGAATTTTTCCCGTAGGGTGAATTATAGTAATTGCAAAAAATTAAAAAAATGAAAATATTTGCATATCTTTACGTTTCAAGACCTCCTGAACATTTTGGCATTAATTAGCAAAAATGGATGTAAGTATGTATGTTTGGATACAATTTTTGTCATCAACCTTATTGGAATGATTCAAAATCATTCGAATCCAACTAATAAAAATTTACTATTATAAAAATATATTATATTATCTTATAATAGTCTATAATAAATCTTATCCTAGCATAAGTTTTAGGTTTTGATGATTTATTAAGGGCGTTATGAATATATAAATATGTCGCTCTATATTATTATAGTTACAATTTGATTTCATCTCATTATTATTATCATTATTCGTGTCAATTCGAAATCCACTACAAATCCATTCTACGATCGACTTCTTTATATATT